CCTCAATACTAGGTGGTATGCCAATCACACTCTCCTCATCCGACTCCTTTTGTATAACCTCCAGATGCGAAGTTAACTTCAGTATATGCAGCGAGAGCGGATTCCAGCCCTCAGGCACTGGCGGTGAACGCACTTCGGATAACGGCATATTCTCGCCCGTATCCAAATTCTTGACAGGAACTTGCTCGAGTATCTCGAAGTCAGTCAGCTGCTTGCCCGAATTGGTGCGTGTGCGCACATAAATGTTCATCTGCCTCAGGACATCCTCATCCCCAGCGGACTTACGGCGCTCCTTCTCATTGGTGCCCCTATATAAGGCCGTATAGCTGTGGGTTGAGACATAGACATAAGTAGAGGCTCTTAACAAAACGTTTTAGGCAGCTGTCTGAATGAACTTTAGCGATAAGTGACTAGCAATAATTTATAATATAAAAAAGGAAAATATTTAACTAACTTTAGGCACATTCTCGAAGTCTTGTACATTATGAACAGATCATAAGGATTGCTGCGAAAAAATTTTTAAATATATTTAATAGCTTTCACTTAACTTAGACTAAAGTTCATTTTCAACGCCTTGCTACTGCTAAGGAATGGGCGAGCTTAAAATCTTGTTGTCTATTATATTATCTAATATCTAATGTACCTAATATATTGAGTTTGTTCTTTAAAAATAATATTCTGAATATTTGTCCTTTAGTTTAATATAATTTTCTTTTTCTGTAATGTCTACTCTATTTATCTGGTGGTAGATATATATGTATACAATTTACAATTTCTAAACATATTCCAAAAAGTTATTAATAAAAAGTAATTTCGATGCATTTACAAATTCCTCCATTATCTTCGCTAAATTTTCAGAGTCTTACATAAACCAATTCTCGCCCATTCCCTCACTTAATACACATATTCATATATACAACCTTACGTACCGTGTGGCACTGCCCAAGCTATTAGAGCCGCTGCCCGCCAGCTTGGGTCGACTAGCACTCTCCATGAGCATTTTCTCGATGCGCTCAATTTCATCCTGCGATGGTCCTTGCGCTTTATTGCTCGCCTCATCGCGCGGCTTAACCACATAGCCGCCTTGTATGGCCTTGAACAGATTGAGACCCTGATTGGGATCAATTGAACTGCAAGAAAAAAGAGCATTAGCCCAAAAACTATCTAAATAAGTTGTGGCACCTTACCTGACGCGACCCGGCGCAGAGTTGCTCTTGGCCGAGTTCGACGGACTGGGTTTCGAGTAGACTGACGTGACGCTGTTGCCCAACGAATGCGAAGGCTTCATCATAATGCTCGCAGTGGACACGGGTCGCACATGACACGCATGACTCGTGGCGGCTATTTGCGCCAACGATGAGGGGGTCGTGGTCGCCGTTGACGCCGAAGCGGACACAATTGTATTGGTTGAGGAGCAGGTCAGCGTATTATTAGACGCCCGGGCGCTGACATCGTTTAGCGAGCTCTCGAACTGTTTGACAATGTCGTCGCGCAGCTGCTGCTGCACATCCCGCACGCTCTGCACGGAGCGTGTATCACTGTCTGTATCCTCCGTGTCGGCTGCTGGCAGTCGCATACCCTCGTTCATGTTGAACTGCTCCGAGCTGCTGCTGGAGAATTTGCGTGATTTTTTCTTGCGTCGTGGCGGAGCTATCGGCCCGCTGGATGTAATTGAGTCTGTGGTTTTGGAGTGCGCCAACTTTGTACTGGCTATTACATCCGGCTCCTGCAGAATCTGAGGAGTTGCTGTTGCGGTGGCAACGGCAATGGCCGTGCTCTGCTTTGCTGCTGTTGCTGTTATTGCCGCGGCAACTGTTGTGGCTGTGGACATGGCCATGGTCGTGGTTACGGGTGGCGGCGTCTGGCGCTGTTGTTGTTGTTGCTGTAGCTGCTGCTGCTGCTGCTGCTGCTGCTGATGTTGTTGTTGCTGTTGTTGTTGCTGCTGTTGCAGCTGCTGCTGCTGCGCGTTCATTGAGGCCAGCGATTCACGATCAACGCTGATCGCTGTGTGATTACGAATAAATGTTGTGAAGTGAGTGTATTCAGAATGCTTGCTAAGTGCGTTTTGAAACTCACCTGACGGATCAATACTCCCCGCCAAGATGCGACCCACGCGGCCCAATGATGTCATGCTCTGTATACTCATTGTATCGCTCTCAATGACCTTAAACGGATGCGTGGGTCGATTGGTAAAAACGCCGTCCATGGAGCTGTTCTGTGTTCAGATAAACAATATTTAAATTAGCCAAAATGTAATTGGGAGACACAACAAAAACCACAGAAAACTCGCTTAAGCTGCGCTTTTCCCATTGATAATATAGATAATAATGCTACAACTAAATGTGATAAAGAGTTTTAGTACCTGAGAATCAGGTGTGAGGGTATTTCCTGGATTATCATCTTCATCATGGTTCATGCATTTACGTAGTTCTTGAAAGCGTTGTCTACCAGACTATACGGCACGATATACATATATTTAATTGATTTTTATTTATATATACATTGTAAATGTATACATATTTGAATTCAAGTTTGTGTTCATATATTCCATGTGTATTTAACAATTATATATATATAAATGTTTTTGTTATGTTGTTTATATACGAAATGCGCACAAAATATGAAATTAAAGAGCAAATATGTTTACGAGAAATTAACAAATATGTAAATAAATAAATATTGTTTTATTTTTGAGCGAGCTCAGCTAGGCAAGGTGCCTTATTTAGGCTAGCCGCATAATGCAGCTACAAATGGGCCACAAATTACGTGTATTTATTATAAACATTTGCAGAGCACTCGACGCTGTCAGATAAGAGATAGTATTCTGCCCCCTTATCCTCTAGCCGTGACAATTAAATGAAATATGAATGAAAACGTGCTGCCGCGCGTTACAGATATTTTATGGGTCAAGTCAATTATCAGAGAAAGAAATATCTATAATAAAAAATTAATAAACAAATAGTAAGCCTGATAAAAGGCCAAAGCAACAGTTATTATCAGCAATTATTGCGATGGCGACGGCAAACCTTTGATAATTATGGCGCTTAACAGCGCTGGGCAACAATAAAAATTATTCAATAAAATGAATAATGCAAGCTATTTAATTATAATTATTATATAAGTACTTTACGATTGTCAGGGCATAAATTAAATTCATTTACATGTTGTTAGGCGGGTAATAATACAAATTGGTAGACAAAGCAGGAAGTCAACAAGTTGAAATGAAAATATTTGTGAAATCAACAAAATGCCTTAATAAATGTTTTATGTTTATGTATATAGAAACGAGGTAAGCTACAAAAATAGCTATGTATATGTGTATAAAACTATTTGTGCTAACTGATTGATGAATGGCCCAAAGCATAAGAGTTGACAGCGGATATTTTGTGAAAATCCACTTGCATGAGTGGAAAAATAATGGTTTGGAACATCCGAACGGATTCCTAAGTAGCATAAATACTGGCACTGAACTATCCAGAGTTTTCCATGTTTACCTTAACTGATACAAGTTTTGCTGATTATGACATAGGTCAAATCATTATATTATAAATGGCAAACTTTTCGAGCAGCCCTCGCTTTATCTATATATACCTGACCGACCGCTGATGACATTCTGCGGCAAACCTTAAACAAAGCGACGCGCTTCAGTGGGGTGCATACATGAATTATAAAAACAAATAAAACCAAATGCGGTGCTTGAGTAATAGAGAAAACCATATGACCAGGCAGACCATATGGGTGACAGGCGGGGGGCTGAGCAGACGGAAAGGCAAATTAATTTGCTGTTTAGCTTGGATTTTATTTTTGTGTTTTTGGGGAATCGCAGTGAAATCGGCGCATTGAAATTTGCATTGATTTTTTATTTTTGCGCACAGTGGGCAACCCGAGCAGAAAAGGGAAAACGCGAAACGTGCTAAGAATTTCGGATTGCTGGCAATGCAATGGGAGCAACTCTTGAGAGGAATTCGTATGTTAACTGAAAAAAACACAACAAAACATTTGTATTTTAAGGCATGCAGTCAAATCAAAGCTAAAACTTTAACGCACACACTCGCGCACACACACACAGAGCCACGCCTTCTTACCACGCCCTTTAATGGCTTGGGCTCCACGAAAATGCCCGCGGCTGCAGCAGCAGCGGCAGCAGCCGCATCCTGTTGCTTAAGGCGCGCGCCTAGACTGTTTGTGGGACTGCGGGTGGCGGGCGTGTTGGCGCCAATGGGTGTTGCATCGCTGTCCGAGGATGCTGCCGCATTTACATGCACCGCTGGCTCCGGAAAGATGAATTCCTGTGCGCATTCCGGCGGCAATTTACGACTGCAAAAGAAAACAATGTGCGTGTCATTAGGGTGAGTCACTGTGTTAGGTCGGGGGGAGGGCGGTCGGGGGCTGCTCGGCACCACCTACCAAAGCGTTGCGGCGCGATTGGGTGTTGTGTCTTCGGCGTCGAAAAATTCCTCAGAACTGTCCGAGTCCGTTTCCAGTTTGCTCATTTTGTGTTTGCTGTGCGTGAATTACCTAACGCGCTTTCCGTTTCGTTTATTTTACGAATATGCAAATTGACCAAATTATGTTTTTAGTGTTGTTTTTGTATTGTTGCTGCAGAGCTACTGGTAAGTGTTGTTGTTGCTTCTGCGGCTGTTAGTTACTGTTGTGAATCATCCTCTGGTGCTGCGTAAGCGCAACAATCAGCTTAATTAACATATTGCACACATTTCGATTTTAAATATATTACTACAAATTTAATAATTGCTAATTTAGTTTTACGCCCGAGAAAAGGTCTGTTCTGTTGCATTGACTATTTATATGTGTTGTAAAGCGCACTAAAAACCACAGGGCTTAGTGATGCCACCTAGTTTTGCGCCGTTTATTATCGAAGTAGTTGTGAATGGCAATTGCAATGGCTAGAAGAAGCAGATTATCGGATTCCCGCCAATAATCTTTAAGCGAAAAGTTGTTTACTAAACGCAACTAAAAAATAATAGTTTATAACTTATACACGGGCTAACAAAATGGATTCTGAACTAAAACACCAATTTGATGAGATGGGCGTGGAGCCCAGCGATGACGTTTTGGAGAAATGCATAGAACTGGCTCTCACATACAGCATTCACGATGCCACCGAATTTGTGGAGCAATGGATGGCTTTCAGTTTGTCGCATCTGCACGGTGAGGATCCAACGGCCGCAAACCTTGGCGAATTCGAGCGCAAGGTGCTACAAGTGAAGCGTGAAAAAGTTGGTACAACAAAGTTAACACATCACACCAAATCCCAACCGTCTGCATTAGAAACGAGTTCTCTGGCTACTTACGGCCTGATTGAAGATGATCCTATGATGGATGATTATGTAGGCGACTCTACGTCCACACAGCCGCACACGCCCAAAGCCCGCAATGAACGTGCTCGAACTTCAATAATGAAGAGTGGCATGGTCTTCAGTCCCGCCAGCTACACGCCACAGTCGGCAAGGAGGACTCCGGCTGCGACTACAACAACCACTACTGGTAAGCCCGGTGACATAGTCGACACATTTGGTCATCCCAAGCTGTTAGCTGGCTGCACATGGCAATCCCAGGTGGAGCAACCCTTGCCCGTAGTCCAGAAGTTGCTCCACAATGATGCACCTTTGACAGTCGCCAATCTAAGGTACATGAACGACTTGCTCTATGACAGATGTGATGACTTGCATGATCGCATAGTAGATATTGGCCAGGCTCTTGTAGACAAGAAGCTGGGCGCTAAGGGTGCCGCTGAATGCAGCTGGTATCCACAGGATAGACACACGCTGGACGCACTGCACGTACTGCATGCCGTGGGCATGATACATTCCGATGATGACGGCCCACTGGATGCTCACTCCGCGCTGCTGGCAGTGCTAAATACTGACGAAAAGTGCCTGGCGCTAAACTTCTCGCAGATCAAGTCGGCCAGCATATTTCCGGGTCAGGTTGTGCTGGCTAAAGGTTTCATACCCCGTGGAGACACTTTTGTGGTGGAGGAGATTTACACAGATCGCAAGCTGACGCTGCCGCCGCCACTGAAAGTTGATCGCGATGTGCAGTTTGTGGTCGCAGCTGGACCGTACACCCACAATACAGATCTTTTCTATGATCCACTACACGAACTGCTCAAATACCTTAAGGAGCACAGACCCGATGTGCTGCTGCTGACAGGTCCTTTTGTCGACGCCGAGCACAAGCTTGTCGGAGATCTGGCCGAGACCTTTGATTCCTTCTTCGAAAAGATGATTTCTGGCATCATGGACGTGGTGGGCAGCAGCACCACAGTGCTGCTGGTCAGCTGTCAAAAGGATGCAATGGCCCCAGCGGTTTATCCCACGCCATCTCTAGCACTGCGGAAAACATATCCAAATCTGCATATGCTGCCGGATCCCTCGCTGGTTGATCTGGATGGAGTCACGCTGGGCGTCACTTCAACGGATGTGCTGGACCATTTGCTGAGCCATGAATTTGCGGCAAACGCGGGCGAGCGCATGCATCGCGCCATCAATCATCTATTCAATCAGGGCTCCTTCTATCCGATGTGTCCGCCGGCGGATGAGAACATGTCCTACGACTCGCAGCTGGCCCAGAAATATGCACAGCTCAAACAGCTGCCCAATGTGCTCATCCTGCCCAGCGATCAGCGGCACTTTATACGCCTGGTCAACGATTGTCTGGTTATCAATCCGGGTCGCTTGTCGGACAACAAAGGCGGCACCTTTGCACGCTTTCTGGTCACGCCCACAGCGCCCACAACCTCGTCAAAGCCCAACATGTTTAATAGTGTCGTCTGTCAAGTTCAACGTATTTAAGTTAATAAACGAACCAATTTTGATTCATATATATATATATGTATATATACAAGTCCAGGATTATGTGCCTCAGATTGTAAGATGAAATTGTGGTCCGTCGTAGTACTTTGTCGAATCACTATATCATATAGCACACAGTAAAATCTGAACATTGAACTACTATATCATATGGCTTGTAGGTTTTTCGGAAAAAAGATCAAATTTGTACTACGATTACAGCTAATAGAAAGATACATTTTATGCCACATAAAGTGTGGCAAAGATCATCAAATATATCGTACTCTGCCTATTTTGTATTTGTTGTTTTTTTAAAGCGTTTATTCATTTAGGTTTTTGTCGTTTACAGCTAAAAGTAGGAAATGATTTCTAAACGTATTACATATAATCGTATTGTACTCTCTATACTCTACAAATCATGTGTGGGTGTCTATGTATTTCACCATATCGAACTCAATTCGAAACGTACCGAAATACTCTGACATAAAACTAAAAACTTTATTGTATATTTTAACTATACAAAAAATACTGCATGAAATCGTTTACAATATGATCTAAGCAAAACTGACCGATCTCTCAGTTTGCAGATATATAATTCCTGTTTTATTTTGTTTTAAGTAACTGCGCGCCACATTTGTTTAAGTAAATTCTGGCCGCCGTTTTGATTGCGTCGCCCCCGCCCTGGTCTTGGTATCGTGGAGCTGCCAACTACGACCGCCACGGCGGCCGTCCAACAACTCCCGCCGGCTGCGCTCCATTTCTAAGCGGCCTGCGTTTAGTTGTTGGGCTCCTGCTTGTATTGTTATTGCCGATTATTGACGCCATCGGGATTGTGCAGGCTACCGCTGGGTACACTGCCCATGCTGTGCTCCATATTCTTGACAACAACATAGTTTGTCATGTGATTGATGGCCTCGTCCTGTAGCCGCTCCGGCCAGCGTCTCATATAGGATTTAATAAAGTCAGCGAACGCGTCCACCTTGTCGGGCGTGCTTTTGTGTGTGTCAACAATGTTTTTCACAATGTCCACAAATTTGTCATAATCTTCGTGGGATTTTTTGATTTTATTGTAGTTGGGCACACCGCCATTGGTATTGCCGCCGGGACCGGCACCACTGGCGCCAGCCGCATTCTGCATTTGTTGCTCCATGTTGCTGTCGGCGAGGCGAGCCGACGCAGCAGCCGCAACAGCCGCCACTGCCGCCGATGAGGCCATAAAATTGTCCACATTGCCGGCATTGGGTGGCGGCTGGGAGTGGTCCATAAAGTGGCGATGCATGCCGTACTCCGATCTGCAAGGATAGCCGATTAATCTTTGCAAGCATTTGTGTAAACCATAATTATAATTTGTACTTGTAGAACCCCTCCGTGTTGTTGCTGTTAAACTCTTGTTGAGACATTGGATTTTTCCAAACTGGTGACTCGGATGTAGATGGTAAGCTGCTGGCATTCGAGGTGCTCGTCATGCGTTTATCTCTGTGTATAAATTCGAATTAGGCTGGGATATTTAGGCTGTTATAGTTTGCGGTACTCACTTGTAACCCGTGTGTGCAGCCAAACTCTTAAACACATCATCCACCTGGCTGTAGAATTTCCACGTGCTAATGATGCCCGTTGTCTCGAATGTCTTTTGCTCTTGTCTATAACGCTGTGTTAGATTATTTACCTTAAAGTGTACTTCCAGCGCGGTAACGGGTACGCCAAGACCCGTCAACTAAAAAACAAAACGAATAATTAGGGATTATCAAAGAAACTTTTCAACTTGATCTAATAGTAGATACGGCCATTTCCAGAGTATATCAAAGAAAAACAATTGATAATTGCATGTTTTAAGAATATAATGCTATAATGATGTTCCTTTAAAGGTATCTTAAATATATGTATGTAAACTTACTTGTTTTGCCATAGCCACATAAAGGTGTCCATTTCGTTTGATTGTGCGCAATTCATAGGCGCAAACTTTCCATAGTTTAATTAGCTCTAATACTCCACTATCCTCCCATTGTCGGCGCTTTTTGTTGAATTTTTCATACTGTCCATGGGGCAGGGGAATGTCGGGATTAGAAATATTGCTTATATGAACTGATTCGCGCTGCATACTTACAGGCATTTCACATGGGTCTCACTCGCCACAAACAGTTGCCCAACAAAATTCGGCTGACAATTGGAGCTAGACATGGAGCGCGCTAATTAATATGGAAACATAATTGCACCTCAGAGCCGCACCTAAAATATTAAGATCGATTAATAATTAAACTTTTATTTACAGACCGAAGCCATCGATAAAGAGGCATACAGAAGCGATTCGTGAATATATATGGGCTGTGAAAATGTATCTAAAGTATATCTAAATAAGGTTCATATTCAGTAGAGATAGTAATATAAAGATTCGGGAACCCAAGAGAAATATAACTATATTAAGCTTCAGATACAAATACCTTCGTTTACCTTCCTTCAATCCCCACAATATTCAAAAGAATACCAAAATCGCACATCGCAATCTTAAGATATTATGGGCTATGGTGTTTGGAGGATGTGATCTAGTTGCAATATACATTTATGTTCACAACTAATAATTATCCGATATGATGAATTCTAGTTAGGAAAATTATGCTATATACCCTATATTAAAGGTTAGATAGGTAAGGGGTATACCACAACAAAACACTCGAGTCTCCATACACTTGAGGGAAACAATTAATATCCCTAAAAATTGTCATAAATTAGGAAATAGGGTTTCCAAAATTTATTTCACTGTGGAAATCACAATGCGAGGATATTTAAGGTATAGGGTATTATTTCATTTGGTTCTTTATGGGCAAACTGTCAGTTTGAAGCAATTGCGCACTTTCTTATGGTAACATATGCTTACTTTAAGCGCGCACACCTGGCGGAGTCCAAACACACACACCCCCCCCCCCCCCCCCCTTCACTTTTCCACATAAATTATAAAGAAAGGTTTCAAGTATTTTACATGTTAATGTAACCATGAAGCTAGCCGATGGATTCATTTGATTTATAGGGAATAACTCGCAGCACCTGTTTGATTAATAATGATTCAAATGATGTTTTTATATACATATTTTCATCTGGAAATGTTGCACATTAGAACACAAATAATCTGGCAGCGCTCTGAATTTGCACACACACACACACGCATATATGCTCACGGTAAACATGCACGTAATTAACAGTTTTAGATTATCATTAAGCTGTAAATACACCGGTACATAAACACACTCACATGCTATGTTCAATGCTGGTAAACAAAAGACAAAATGCAAGGTGTAAATTGCACGCGCAGCGGGCACGAGACAACAAACACGAAGAAACTAACGCGACGACGACTCAAGTTGTACTGAAGCGGTATTTCAAGTATACAAAAGCTGCGGCCAGGGCAAATGAAGATGCTACAACAACAAGAACGACGACGACGACGACGACGTCGACAGCTAAACTGGCGTCGACGTCGCCGCAACATTGGCACTTGCTGGTCCGCAGTTGATGGGGCCAGCAGCAAAAACAACAACAGCAACTACATTTTGTTGTTGCCCGTGGGGACAAGAGATGGTAACTTTTCTTGAATACACACACGCGTACAACTACAACAATATTTTTTCCCTTTGCGAGAAATGAAGATACACACACACATACACACATGCACAGGTACATACTTTTCCTTCGATTGTGGCAAACGCAATTTCGATGCTCATGAGGCGAGCATGAGCAATAGCGGGCGCGCAAACACAGTTACAATAACAAGCTCAACACAAGCGAACGCAAAACTTAATAATAAGTTAAATAATTAAATTTTAATTATGTTTAAGCACACACACGAAAAACGTAGTTAGCAGCTCAGCCCGAGATATTTACCAACACTAATGATGGCAGAACACGGCACGGCCATAATGATGTTGTACAAGCGAGACAGCAACAGCGCGCGCAACATGGTGTGAGAGGTGCAACCAGTGTGTTTCGTGTTTTCGGTGCTGCCAATCTGGTTGTACATTGTGCACCAAATTTAAAATAACATTTGTGCACATGCTAAAATGCGTCAAGTTTCTGTTCAAGACTGACACAATATGCCAATCAGACTTGTATGCTTTTATCAAACATATGGCGCGACCACGCCCACTGCAAGCTTAAATGAGTAATGGTTTTAGCGATGCGTCTAGCTTGATTTCAGTCATGAGCATGACCATGTAATTTATCTTAAGCGCGCCAGTCGGCACCAGCAGCTCGTTAAAGCAAGCAACGTAAACGCATTATCATCATCATCAACTGCGACTGTGGCAACCTTTTGTGTGCTCCCCCTCCCTCACCGGCACCAACACAATGATGCGCAACTGCTTTTGTTGTTGCGCTCACACACACACACACATTCTCATGCGGCGTACGGTGGTCATCATCATTAGGTTGGAGCAATACCTCCTCCCCGCTGCACCCTAGCACATAACCTAAATGCGAACGTCATTAGCGTCGGCTAAATAACAAAAAATGATAATGTTGCTGTTTCGTTTGTTGTTGTCGTCGTCATCAGTGTTGGTAATCATCATTAGATTGCACATAGAATGAACTTTGCTCTAGACTACGCCTCCCGCAACAGGCAACTGGTAGTTGCCTAGGGATGCGGCTTAAGATTCGAAACAGTAGGTTCGTCTCGTGAAACCGTTTTTTTTTTCGGGTTCAATAAACCTCAGAGTGAGGTTCGAAAATTGGCACATAAAATGATTTGTTCTTTTTTAATAAATAATACTTTTTTTTATTACATATTTAATTGGGGAAAAGTATATCTTCTACAAAACTTTTAATAAGACTGTCTCTAAAGTCAGGCTCTACTTCTTTTAATATAAACTAAGCGCCGATTTAACCTTGATATACATACATTTTTTTTATTTAGAAAATATACCAAGTTTCTCGAACCGAAAGAATTTTATAAATAAACATGGGGCTGCCCCCGCCTTTTTTTTACGAAATTGCTTTGACTTAAAAATTTGTAGTTCTGGGCTCCAAACCGACGACTAGTCGGCGGTGAGGCTAAAAGGTGATCCTGGAATGTGTTGCTCACCCCACTTGGCCACCAGAATGTACTCGCCCGGCTCTCGAACCTGGTACATGACACGGTAAACGTGGCGACCCAAGTGCTTAACCAGCACCTCATCGCAAGGTCCTTGGGCTCCCAGTATGCCCACAAAGAGCATATTACTGCCGGCAGCGCTGCCATCCACAGTGAACTCGTTCCGCTCGAGAAGATTGACATGGGTTAGCCCCAGGCCACGACTATGGACCTTGCTGGCATCCGACTCGAAAACGGGCACTGCTATACATAAGTGAAATGCTTGAAAAACTGGAAGAATACAAACATTCATTAGCTACTCACTTGACGGACTGCATGTGGCTGGATCAGTGCCATCCTCAGTTGGAGGCACGCCTGCTATGGTGACTATAATGTAGGGCGACTTGGGCAACGGCACGGAATTGCATTTGATGTGCACCTTATAGAGACCCGCCTGCGGCAGCTGACATTGCACCTGAAAGCGTTCCGGGTCCAATTGGGTCAGCTGCAATGGCGCTCCATGCTGCCCACTGGGACTCTCGAGACGCACATCAAAATTGCCCTTCACCCCATTGCGCTTGATGATGAAGCTCACCGTGGAATTGATGCGCACCGCGCCGCTGGGCAAATGCAGCAGCTGCACCTTGCTCGCATCGGTCAGCTCGGGCGCTATGTAGACCCGCGGCGGCTCTGTGGGATACGCATCTGCGGAGGATTTATAAATAGACTCATCAAATGTTTACTTCCGCATAGGCAACACTCACCCGCATCGGGCGTGCGCTGGTATCGCCCAAAAACACAAACGCTCTCCGGACTGCTGCCGTCGCTGGCATCGCCCAGCCCCTGCCCCTGCCCCAGTGCGCCCGCGGCGCTCGTATTCAAGCGAATCTCCTGCGACACTTTAAACATGCCGCCAAGCACTCGAAGCGATTTACAAGTTGGCGACCTGGACTAATCGTCTAAATGGATTTTTAAATAATTTCTGTAAATTTTTGTGCGCTCGGAAAACTATTTTGGATTTACGAGCGGTATGTGACGTGGCGATGTCTATGCCGTGCCTGTTCCTTGACCAGACTGAGGCTCTGCTGCTCTGCTGCTCTGCTCTCCCCCTTTCTCTCTGTCTGTCTCTCGTATTCTTCAATACACACTCGAAAATGCTCTTGAGAAATACTCAATATTTTCCATTTACTCGCGGACATATATGTGGCCGCAGCAGCAATAGAAACACGCGCCAAAATGCAAATGTTTATGATGTTTCTTCGTTTGTTTGTTGAATGGATCCGATGGCATATTGCCAAGCGAAAGAACCCAAGTATATAGCCGACTATATAGAAATACAGTTTATTTATTTTATGCGCAGTTGGGTTAATGCTTGTGCGGAAAATTTGTAGAGTTTATATTTAAAATTAATTTATTATCAATTTTAATTTGACTTATTTGATTGAAATTAATTCGCTCTAAATTTTATATCAATTTATTACATAAATACATTTTTCTAAATTAAAAATTTAATTATGGCTAATCATGTTATATAAGGACAACCGATAGGCGGCATTTTATACCCTAAAATATTTTGTTAAAATCTGTTCAAATCTGGGGAAGCGCTTTAACTTTGTAATTTCGTTAGGACTTTGGCCCATCTTCCCAAAATCGATAAATATCGATTTGCAGCAGGAAAAACAAAATTAAGCATATAGATTCTTGCCTAGCAAAAGCTATTCCAGAACTTGACTTTCGAATAAGTTGCTCGCTTTTTAAATTTTTGTTTAAGATATTGTCCAGAATTTATATTTTTACGAATGCCTTAAGCCCATCTTTAAGATCTACAAATTTCGTTTTAAATGTTCGACGAACAACAAAGTTTTTTGAGGTAGGATTTTTCACTTGATCAAAGTATTGGGATCGCAAGTAGTATTCACAGACAGTACCACATAAAGCATTAGTTTTTTAATAATAATTTGTTTTTTTTTTTTTTTTTTTTTAAATCGAACGTACTTTTCAAGATTCATACTAATTACTGCATACATATATTTCTCGTTGTTTGGCTCTTGTCTCGATGCAGTTAATTAAAATTTATAAAATATAACAAATTCATAACCAAATACTTTACGTACGTATACATACATATACATATACAAATACATATATATATATATACATACATACATAAATATTTTGTTGGACAACTGTTTAATGTTTCAGACCAGTGCCACCTTCCGCAATTACGAAATTGGGATCGATCACATTTCCATCTTCTCTATATTTTTATTTTCTCTTGTTTTCCATTCGATATATCACCTATCACCTGTGATCGCTTACATCCTAACAATTCAGCCAACCCTCTCCTCGGCCCACGAGCTCATGTGGCGCCCTTTATATCATAGCCACATTGCAGATAGTGATACAAGTTTGGGAAGGCCGTGATATCTGTGTTGCTCAAATGGCCATGCTCGAACAGAAGTGCATAGATCTATGGAAGATAAAATATGGAATTTGTTGCAATTATTTAACAGCTATGCTCGGAGTGCCGCAGATTATAATATAATGTCATAGATATATCCTAGGCTGCGATCTATATGACATGAAGGTTCCATGTTGATGAGGTTCTAACTTCTTAGTTGGGTTAAAATACCTCTTATAATAAAATGATTTTTTTCCACCGATTTTTCCTTTCGGAGTATGTAAGATGTTAGAGGGATAATAGACCGATTAGGATTAGCTATGTGATTCAAAACACTATTTCATACTAAAAAAAACAATTGACCTGATTGTTCCTATATATGTTAAAGCATAAAGCAGTCCGATTCTAATAAAACTATAAACTTATATTAAGGAGGGTTAAGCTCGTTGGCTGTTTTCTTATATAATACATATATAATGCCTACAACAAAACACGGAACCACAATATATCTGTTGGTTGTTGGCCATAACACTGATCAGGAATATATATACTTTATGGTTAAGCACGCGAATACCCTCGGCAAGGAAATAAATATAGATGAAGAGCCACTCTTACGTTCTCTGTGATTTTTAGATTCCTAATGGCCTCTGTACGCATCTGCTGCCAGGTATTACGCAAGCGCTCCTCCGCCTCCGATACGAAACCGGGCGCCCAGTTCTCCTTGAGTCGAAAGAGGTTCAGACGATGCTTCTCGCGCGCCAAACGTGGCTGGATCAAACGTTTGCGCTTGCTGCGAGAGAGCAGCATTTGCTCCTGTTTGGCCTTCTTTTCCTCGATCTGTAGGCGCATCTTTCGCGCCAGATCCTCGCGTTTCTTGCTGGCAGCCGTCTCCTGAAAAATGGACACCTGATTGGTCTGCCCGAAGAACTTGCAATAGTAGTTGATGCGGCTGGCATCTGGTGGCGGCATAATGCGTCTAAAATTGCCCATATGGCTTTCCTCCCAGGCGATTTGCTGCGCCAGCGAACCGATCTCCGGCTCCGGTGATTGCTCCTTGTTTGTCGGACTGCCTTCCTTTTTGGGCGTTAACTTTGAGACGCCAGCTACGACACGTGAGCGTTGTACACTGCAATTGCGAAGCTGATTGCTTGAGTTTTTTTTTCACGGATAGATTACTCACGTGTCACCCTTGGATTTGAGCAGACGCTGCTTGACACGTTTCCGATCCTCGCGCAGGATTTGCTTCTTATCCGCCAAGACGGTGCTGACCAGAGTCAGGGTATCCCTGATGAGCGGCCGCTTGACCTCACGATCCACCTGCTCGTTGGTATGAAAGCTGGGCGAATGATTCACTTCCAATATATAAGGCTTTAGCTTCCAGTCCACCAGTATGTCAAAGCCCAGTATCTCAAAGCAGGCCTGTATCGTATCATGACCCGGAAAGCAGGCATTATAATTATGCTTCAGCACTGGCCACGCGCTCAGCACGGTTTTAATGATGACATCATCCACATTGGACCAGAACTCACTAACATCATAGTTATGCCTGGTCATCCAATTGTTGATGGCGCTCAGCTTCCGTTTGCTGCCGCAGTCATCGTTGTCGCACAGATCGTACTGGGAATTACGTTTGTTCACCGAATAGTTGGTGAGATGCATGTAAAGATCGTGGGCATTGCCCGGAGTGGGCTCCACATACTTGTTTGTGGCGAAACGGGCAAGGCCCTCATTATAAACATACAGCCGCAGCGGATCCACGGAGGTTATCAATGTATAAACCCGTAAATCAAATTTATAGCCGTCTATGAGAAGCGGCTGGACAAAAAACGAGAGAATGTAACAAGCGGAATATTGGTGGAAATTAAAGTACAAATCCCTTACTCTATGGATATAAGTCTGACAGATGAGACGTTCGTTGGGTCCAATAGTCTTCAGATCGTTTGTCAGCCAAATGCCACGCCCCTGAGCGCCCGAGTCCGGCTTTAAGATGAATGTGCGCTTATGGTTCTGAGCATAGTGCATAGCATCGCCATAACTAAGGAATAGATAGATCTTCAATATCTGGAAGGTCAACAAAGCATTTAACCGGGACTGCAAACGCAACAAAAATTTAGGTACCTCGTTGTCGACACTAAAATACAGGTTTTTGGTTCAAGCCTTGCTTTTTACAGTTTTTAAGCGATTGCAATTTTAATTTATTATGACCCGTTCTACTTAAAATACTGCAAGCCAAACTTAACCTTTATCCAAAATGAACATCTACCAAAAATGGTTCAGTTCCGTTCCGGGTTTCTTTGTTTGGTTTGGTTAAAGGTTCGAGTCGTTTGGATTCAAAACCGGTTTGCAGCCTTGCGTTTAAAGACATATGACTTACTCAGCTGGTAGCATCCAGGTTTTGGGAAAGATTTTGTAATCGTGGGGATACAATTTGAGCATACGATTTAAATTACGTGAGAGCAGGTCCTTGCGGCAAATTTCGATCATGCCGGGAAAATGATTTATCTGCTGAAAGCGTTTCATATTCTTAAAGAGCTCCACACCGGGAAACGAGTCGGACCACAGTATGTTCCACATTTTACACTCTTTGACCAGCTTAAAACCCAACGACTTGGATATACGGCCAATCATAGCGTAGCGCGAATTGGACACGCAAATTGCGCTCTTGGAATCGCTGGGGATTGGGTGTGGTTAAGCACGGCTAAAACTGTGCCATAAACTCACCTAATTTTTGGTCTTTCGTCGTGTCGCGGAGAGCTCCCTGGACGTCCCGAACAGGCCACGCGATAGCGCAAATTATTTAGTTCTATGAAACCTTCTGTAACCGGTGCCTCGATATCCGAGCCCACGGTCTTGACGGGCCGGAAGCCATGTCCGCCTTTTGAGCGTCCATCTCCCGCCATGAGTGTCCTCTTCTTGCCTGGCTTGTTCTTACTGGCCAATTTTCGGCGGCGCGGTGAAGACAACTCTTTGGCTGGTGATGCCAGCTGGGACCATTCCAGTTCGACAACTCGATTGCTGCATTTGGACTCGGATAGGGCCATTTCCACGCCACGTATGACTGGAGTGCGTAAGCCCCGTTGCTCTCGATCTTTACGTAGTTTCTCTTTTGAGAAGTTTCGCAGCTCCTGAATTCTTTTGTAAAACTTGGAATTTTTTAAATTCATTGTTTATCAGTCGGAAAAACAAATTGAGCTATCCTGTGTTCTACTTAAAACGAAAATTATTAACAAAATATGTACATCTGTTTTTCTTATTCTGACGCAAGCACAAGTAACTGGATTGACGCTAGATTCAAAACGTTTCGTCACATTTCCGAGTGGGATTTCGAATGGGGCTGCAGGAACCACTTGACTTATAAGGCAGGCACGGCATGTTATATTTGGAGGAATTTTTATTTTTTTGTAACGAAAATGTTAAATTTACTCCGATCAGCGAATAAATATATCATCGAAGGCTGTATCGAGAGGATGTATCTAAAAAGTGGAAAACTTTTGATTCTTGTCTGTATCTGTTATAATTTCCGACACATGGAAATCGGAGTTAGTCGTTTTTGGGAACAGGAATCTGTGTTTGATATATATAGTCCAGATGTATAGGGTATTTAAAGGTTTTGGTTTTATATATTATTTGGAGTGTAGGTATATAATATTACAATAACAAAAGTCACGTCATACGTATAAAAAATAAAATATATTGGAATGCTTTTTGCGCCAACCATATATTAAGAGTCGCTGCTGAATGTCTTGAACCTTTTGACAACCTCATCCATAGAGGGTCTGTCCTGTGGATTTGAAGCCGCACACTTGAGACCCACTTCTATGGCACATAAGCATTTATCTAGCTCATCGCCCATGGGCGTGACCAGATGCTTGTCAAAGATCTCCAAGCGATTCTGATGCGATTGCAGGCAGTTGGCTTTAACATACTTAAGCAGATTTTGTTGATCATTTTGGAGCGTGCATTCTGCCATTAGGCGGCCTGTGAACACCTCGAGCAGCACAACGCCAAAGCTATAGATGTCCACGCCAGTGCTGAGCTTCTTGGAGCTGAGAAACTCTGGCGGCAGATAAATTCTGGTGCCAAAGACTTGTCTCACTTCCATAACTGCATCTATTGATTTGGGACCCTCACGCGCCAAACCAAAGTCACCGATCTTGGGCTGCAGGCACTGGTCCAGCAGTATATTGGCGGGCTTGATGTCGCCGTGTATAAGTGGCTTGCTGCGCGCCGTGTGCAGAAAGTAGATGCCCCTGTGGAGTAATTTATATATGAGATTATAGAAATATGTCAATGGTAAAGTTTCTACCTACTTGGCTGTGCCCAGGGCTATGCAGAGGCGCTCCTGCCAGGTCAACGGCGGCAGCGGCTGCTTTGATTTGTGCGCTCTGAGTCTGGAGTCCAGCGAGCCGCCTTTCATCAACTGATACACCAGGCAAGGTTTCTCCCCGTTGATGCTGTAGCCATAGAGCGCCAGAATATTGTCATGTCTTATGGTATTCAAGTACTTCAACTCATTGTAGCTTTGCTGCAGATGCACTTGAGTCTTGTCGTTGTGTTTGTGAATATAATTCATTGCCTTAATGGCCACGGCAAGCTGCTTCCATTCGCCTTTAAAGACTTCACCAAAGCCACCGTTGCCTAATTTGTTCTCTGGGCGCCAGTTTTGTGTAGCAATCACCAGTTCCTCGTAGTCGATTTCTAGCAGGGATTGGGCGGCGCGTTGTACGCTACTCACTCGTATATCACCCGGAGATTCCAGACTATTGCTATTGCTATCTTCCGTAATACCCGATGAGGAGGCATACGGTGGTCCATTATTTATTTTAGAGCTGCTATTGGCCGGCGCACGCAGCTCGCTAATATTGGGCGTACTTCGCGGAATATACTTGTGGAATTTTTCGTCAACGTAATCTTTAATAATCCGCATAGCATTGTGCAGCTTCATTCTGCAATGCGTAAGAGAGATTAGAGAAAACCTGCCACTAAATGTTGCAGCAGTAACTCACTTGTGGAAAAGCGCAAACAGGCTGTAGACCGTGTGATTATATTGGCCTCCCCAGATGTTCAGGAATTCATTCGAAGGGGAACGTCCGCGTGTACTCAAGTTTTGTATGTGCTGCACATCGTTGGGATAGAGTTTCACAAACGCCGCCAACTGCTGCCACACGTCCAGTGAGTCCAAGTGCTCGCACAGGTGCTGCCGCACAGTCTCTGGCAATAGTCTTATGGGCGTGGAGTTGTCTTCGCGACCCGATCTTGAAGGACTGTCGCTAGCCCTGTCTTCTGCTGCCACGTTCATCTTGCAACAACGGCCGTATTTGGCAAAGACTTTGCTGATTCATGCAAGTCTTGACGACACTTACATACATATGCATATGTAGTTGGGCGGCAAGTGAAATTATTTTAGTAGAATAACTTGTTGCACTGGTAAAATCCCAATTGGAAGCGCAATCAACATTACTGGAGTTGCCAGACCTAACGCATTTCACTGGAGATCGGCAAAAGTCGCGTACTCGTTACTTTAGCCGAGTACTTAACGGCAGAGTCACAGTTGCCACACCTTTTAAATCTACAAATCTGATACAAGACATCAATATAGTGGACATATTTATACATATGCAAATGTAAGCCATTTCTTTTAAAAGAGCATGCACTTTTACATATTATAAATGCATTTATATTTTTTTTTTTTCTCTATATATTAATGAATTATTACATATTTTTGCTGATTATATGCGGATACAGTATTTTAATAAAATCCCTCATCAGTATCGTCAGCCGGCTTCTGATCAAAATTAGCGCATTTTGCCGCCTCGCCACCGCGCACCTTTACATTGTAGCACACATTCTCCGCCTTCAGCATACTCTGCCGCATGGTGGTAATTTTGCGCCACAATTCCCGGGCACGTTGACAGTTCAGACTGATGTAGCTGCAAGTGGAGACAAAAATATATAAGAATATTCACAAGCAACTTGACACGCAGTCGACATACCCTGTGTAAAATTGCTGCAATGCCTTGCAAGTCTCCATGCAGGTGTCCGTGTCACCGCTGCCCAACGAGTTGATGCAGCGGCGCATCAGTTCGCCCGTTAAATCCGAAACGCCTAAAATATACTCTGTCGGATCAACAAAAAACTGAAACTTTTGTATGGCCTTGACTTCCGTTTGATCCCCGGATATGGGCATACTTTCCTCCTTCACGGGCTCTTTGTTAGCCTCAATTTCATACTGCATAACCGACTGCAGGGCAGACCAGTCGGACACCGGCTTAGAGTGCTCGGCGTTGTCCTCGTTGCACAAGTACTCCATATAGGTGTATGCCTCTATGAACTCCTGCAGTCCGGGCGAGTAGGCTGCCCGAAATTGATAGACATCCTGATCCCTCAGCTCCAAAGCAATGGCGCGAAAGTTAACCTCGATAAGTTTGGTCAAACGCTGCTGAGCTTCCTCCAGTACTTTGGCCTTATTCTCCTTGCGCGCATCAATGGAATGCAAAAAAAATATAATGCGCTTTGATTCGATTGTAATGTCGCGGCTCAACTTCAATATGCGCTCATGACGATCGTGTTTGCTGTCCAATTCGCTGGCATAGCTGCGGAATGCCAGCACAACTGGATTCTGTTCGTCCAGCTGCACCTGGCGTTTGCGTGGCGCATTATTTTTGTTGCGATAGCCTGGATTTTTCGGCATTTTTCAACTTGTTTGTAAATAAAACCGGCAAGAGTTTATGACAAGCCAATTTGTAATGCAGAGTTGCCACCTGTTTGTAATTGACTACTGCCACGGTTGCCACACAAAAATTTACCATTTTAAGGTTTAACGGTAACGCATTGTATTAAAAGTAAATAATGTCTTAAGTTAAAATTGAAATTAAAAAAAAATAATAAAATAGTCCGTTTCCTAGTACAGATTTGGGTACAAGAGTACACAGTTGGCAGCAGTAAGCACAACAGCTGTTAAACTAAATCGGTTTTTTGTTTATCGACTATCGATTGTCATGCCTGATGAAGCTGCCTGCTGTTGTTCGTTCGTGGCAATTATTTTAAAATTGTCTTAAACTATTCATAAAGGTGGAGCACGCAATGCATGAGCCTGCAAGGAGGCCGTCCGTATCCGGCGGCACAAGCACTGCCGAAAAGCTTTGCTTTGACAAAAATGAGTTTATGAAGGTATGCGGTAAAATAAAATGGCTGGCAAAAATGTTTGCTTTAGCTTATTTTTTGTAGGAAAATTTCTCCGTGGACGAGTTTTTGCACAAGAATCGAAATGCACCTAGCTTGGAGCAGCTGCGCGATAACCTGGGCCTCTATTTGAAAGGACTGCGCGCTGCCATGATTGATCTGATCAATGAGGACTATGCAGATTTTGTAAATTTGAGTGCCAATCTGGTGGGTTTGGATAACTCCATTAATACCATACAACGCCCGCTGGAGCAAGTCCGCAGTGAAATTGCTGGCATACACAGCCTGATCGAGGATAATGTGGTTGAGCTGCGCGCGCAGCTGGAGGAGAAGCGCCAACTGCGTGAATTTCATCGCAGTTTGCAGAGCCTAAAAAAGGTGTATGAGATCATTGCAAAGCTGCAGGAGTTGATTTCCAACAAGCTGAGCGGTGAAGAACCCACCCAGGTTGTAGACTTGGAGCGTGCCGCCCTCGACTTGATACAGTTGAAGTTTCACGAAAAGCACTGCGGCGCTCAGCTGGGCAATGAGCAGATGTCCACAATCCAGCAGGTTGAGGAGCAAGTGCATCAGCAATTACGTCGTTTCTTTAACGATTCACTGCAGCAGGCGCGCAACGCGGCCCCAGAGCACTTGGAGCGCTGTCTGCGCATCTACATCACGCTGGATGCATGCAGCCGTGCGGAGCGTGCCTTCCGCGAAGATGTTGTTGCGCCCTATATGAGCAGCATCATTGGCGAGCAGCAGCTGCAGAATTCACCACAGGGTCTAGCTGGCATTTATAGCAAGATATTAAACTTCATATCACTGCACATGGCAGATTTGCTGCGGCTAACGCTTTACTCGGACAAACTGTGCGGCTTTAATTTTGTGGTCAACAGCTTCTGGGCAGACGTTGAGATGCGTCTGGAGCTACACATGAATTCGATATTCGCGCCAGGCAATTCGGAGGTGTTCTATGTCAAATACAAATGTACACGCGACTTCCTGGCCAAGATTGAGGAGTTGCTTACGAGCAGCGGCGAACAGGCTGTTGCCTCCTATCGCCAGCACAAGCAAACCAAGAGCTTTGAGGCGCGCTGGAATCTGCCCGTTTACTTTCAAATATGCTTTCAGGTAAGTTGCGAAGGCTTAGCCATAAATGAGTTAATTTTCTATTTTTTAATTACAGGAAATTGCCGGTCGCCTTGAGTCGCAATTGGAGCCCTTGCTTAACGATGACACGTTGCAGCCCCAGCCGGAGTTGGATGCGTATCAATTGAAGCCGTTTAACGCCGCCAAACAGGCCCTAACACGCTGCTGGGCCGAGGGCGTCTATTTGCCTGAGGTGTTTCCGAAATTCTACAAGCTTAACGTGCAAATTATTTTACGCCTCTCGCGCTGGACCACGGATGCCATTAATGCCGCCAAGAGCAGCAGCTTCACAAAAGCTTACACCAGGAATCAATTGCTAATTGCTTTGCATGCCGACACGCGTAAGCTGGAAGCCTACTTGCCGGAGCTGCAGCAGCTTATCACGCATGCGGCGCCCAAAACGAAGAATATGTCTCTATTCAAGAATGTTTTGGGCAAGTCCATAGCTGACTTGGCCGATACACTGGGCATGCATTTGATCAGCATACAGGAGACCTTAAAGCAACTGTTAATCACGGAATGCGGCACGGAGAATGTGCGTCAGGTCAACGATTTGCCACGTCTGTACCGCAAGACCAATCGCGACGTGCCCACGCGTTGCTCCAGCTACGTGGAACAAATGCTGCGGCCGCTGAAGGCGTTTGCAGCACAGCACGAGGCCCAGCTTGGCACGCTGGTAGTGGAGCAGATACTGGCAGAGGTGTGCAGCAACATAACCAAGGCGTAAGTAACGTACGCAAGATTGAAAAGTAGCTATTATTCATTTGGCTCTCTTTCCTAACAGCTACTTTAATGTGGTCAGCGATGTGCTTACCTCCGTGCAGAAAACCGAGGAATCTTTGCGTCGTCTGCGCAATCTTAAAAGCGGCGCCTCGTCTAATGCGCCTGCCAGTGGCAGCACAGCTTCCGTATCGGATGATGATAAGATACGCCTGCAGCTGCGCGTTGATGTTGCCGCCTGGACGCTGGAGCTAAGTAAACTTAACTTTAAGCCCACACAAATTGACAAGCTGCTTGACCTGTCCAGCATGGTGGAGGACAGCATAAAACCAAAAGAGGGCGCATCGTAGGCGGCATACAGTTAAACAAAATGTATTTCTAAATATATATACATTCTACAATTTATTTACTGTTAATCGATTGCTACTGATTCTTTAGGCACAAAAAGTGTTTGTTATTTAAAAGTTTACATAAGCTGTATATAAAATATATATATATATATATAAAATATAAATGCATCAAATTTCACGCTCGTTAGAAGGGTAAATACATGTTGGCCATGATTTAGTCGCTGTTTGGAATAAAGATAAAAGAGATTTCAGAGTTTTAGCAGGATTCGCTGTAAACATCTTGCAAAAGATATCAGGCAGATAAAAAATGCATGCTCAACTGAATGGTGATAAAAATTGGAAATGTTTAAGCATTGGCTTTGTAGAATGGTGCAGGATAACAGGAAGACGAAGGATAACTGAAGCAGAAACGAATTTGCGGGCTATAAACTACGCAAGCTGCAGCTACATTACAATTTGAGCTCCTCGGTGTCGGGCAGTTTGTTGAAGAACCATTGCAAATGCTCCTCGGTGACCTCGGCCAGCGTGGCTGGTTGCCATTTGGGCTGCTGATCCTTGTCGATGAGCAGTGCGCGAACACCCTCCTTGAAGTCAGCGCGCGGTTCCAAATGGCGCACAGCTAGGCGATATTCCATGATCAAGCATTGGGCCAGCGACATCTGTGCGCCAAGCTCCAGCTGGCGAAAGGTTACCTTCAGGGATGTGGGCGACACTTTGCAAAGGATCTACACATGGTATGTAAATAAATAAAAGTGGTATTTTAGCCGCGGCTGCTAATTTATGTGCTTGTTGTGTGAAAACGTGGCTTTAACAACGAGGCGCTAATTAACAAAGATTTATACTCTTTATATAATACTGTTTAAATATTTATGCGCTTTTGCGCTTTGAGCGCGTGGTATTTTGATTGCCGCAGCCAATTAGCAGTTGAACCGCCCGCCGCTTATCACCTATTTATGAGCTGAATACTGACCTCCAACTGTTTCTTCGCCCAATCGCTGTCATCGTTCTGCAGACTCTCAAGTATTCCCTCTACGGAGCTGGCCGAAAAGTGCTTGTTAATCTGCTCCAGCACGGGCTGTAAGGAGAATGGTTTCTCCGGCTGGCAGTGGAACTTTTTCAGTATGTCAGGCACATCATCGGCGTCCGGGCAGTTGAGCAGTGCTTGTTCCAGTTCGGCTATTTTGCTGCTCTCACAGTAATGTGTGGCAATGCCCGCATAATAGACATCGGCGCCACGCAATCGATGACCTGTCAGGCCCAAATACAAGCCAAGTTTTCCCTGTAGGCGTGGCAAGAAGTATGAACCGCCCACATCCGGAAATAGTCCAATGGCCGTCTCGGGCATGGCGAACAACGTACGATCGGTAGCCACACGATATTTTCCATGGACGCTGAGTCCAACGCCGCCGCCCATGGTAATGCCATCGATAAGGGCAATGTAGGGTATCTTGTAGTTGCCTATCAATGCATTGGCTGTATACTCCTCTCGGAAGAAGCTCTTTGACTCATCCGTGGGGCCGGCATCAACCAGCGCACGCACATCGCCGCCCGCACAGAAGGCTTTATCACCAGTACCTTTTATAATCATCAGCGATTTCGACTTTTCACATTTTTTCAGATGCTTGTATATCTTGCGCACCATCTCAAGATTGATGGCATTCAAGGCCTGTGGCCTGTTTATAATGATCATGCCCTTGTTGGATGATTCCGTGGCCAGCACGGAGGATGAGGAGAGGCGCGTGGAATTTGCCATCGGCATTTTAATTGTTATTTCTGTTGTTCTTGCACCGGCAGCGCAGAGCAGTGGCAATTGGGAATAGGCACGCTGACCGAACGTGTAGGCTAACCTTTGAATTGGATTTTGCTGTTGCGCGTTAAGTTAGCATCTAATTGGAAATTTAATTATGTGTTCATTTGCATTATTTACCATTTTGAATTTCCTTTTTATTTTATTTTTACCCCTCCGCACAGCGAGTTGCGCAATAACAAAACAGTCGATTTATACAGTGTTGCCGTACGCAGCGAATAAAGTACAGGAAAAATGGAGTTCTTTTTTAAAATTTTATTTAAAGCAAATTGTATTTCGTAGTTATGCAAACGCAGAGTAATTACAAATGCGCTGTATTTATACCAGTTGCAGCATTAAATAGAACGCATCATGTGGATAAACAGATTAGTATAGAGTTGCATCTAATATGCGCCAGGTGGCAACTCTGCACCTGTATAGAACAATGCAAAACGCATATAAAAAGTTTATGCCATGATACAGCTTGGGATAAATCTTATTACAATGTCTTCTGCGAATATATATTTGTTTGTTATGGGTTTTTTTAAGCATTATAGTCTGATGTCTATTATTATATTAATATTGGTTAAGATGAAATATCAAAATACCACCAACTAATTAAATCGAAAAACTAATAAACGCAATCAGTTAACTTTTCACTGGTCGTGATTTCGTGTGCATAACATAAACGTAACTGTTTACGTGTAACTACTTATCGTGCTTGTGGTGCGCATAAACGTATGAATACGAGTACCAACACGCAGAAAACTAAAGCTTAACTTTATCATTCTCATATTTAAACAAATAAATGGTGAGTAAATATCGGTAATCAGCACCACACGGCAGCAGAATGCTTATGATTCAGTGGTATCAGAGCCAGCAAGTGGCTCACACTGAATTGTCTGTGCCATGCCCTTGTTTTTTAAATTATCTAAAATACGTACAAAGCGCCGTCGCTCATCGGCTTTCAAATCCAAACAGATGAACTATGATGGACTGCTCTCCAAGTTGACCGATGAAAAGCTGGTAATCTACGAGACCAGTGATCAAGGTGCCGCCGCCCTGGTCGAGGGCGACGTTGAGGATGGCGCCATCGAGGAGGAGCAGGCAGCCCCAATACAAACAATACCCCATACAGCCGTAGCTGCCGCTACTGCAGCCACTGCCGTTGCTGCTGCGTCAGCAACTTCAGCACCTGCGACAAGTGCAAACCTAAACCCGAAATTGGAAAATGCTGCGACAGCGACACCACAGCGCAAAATATCGACGTCATCACGTTTCATGAATGCCTTTAGTCAGCTTTATGGCGGTAACAGCAATAGCAATAGCAATGGCAACAGCAATAGCAACAACTACGGTGGCGGTCACCCGGAGCTGCATAACGATGATCCGGAGCTGGCGGCGAATCGCACACCTACCAAGGGCATGGAGTCAAAGCTGGTGGCTATGTGGCACAATGTCAAGTATGGTTGGACGGGCAAGATGCGCCAGACCAGCTTCTCAAAGGAGCAGCCCGTCTGGCTGCTGGGACGCTGCTATCATCGACGGTATACGCCGCCCGTCAGCATGGAAAACTCCACCACGGAGCTGCTCAGCGGTGCTGACACCACGCCAGATAATGCCACTTCGGCGTTTGATAGCATACCAACGATGGCCACATCCTCCTCCATATATCCCACATTAAATCCGCAGCAAATTGATGAGATTGTGGTGCCCCAAGAGCTGGGCATGGATGCGGCTGAGAATCAAATGGCCGAAAGTCCTTGGGAAGAGGGCATTGAGGGTTTTCGTCGTGACTTTTACAGCCGCATCTGGATGACCTATCGCCGTGAATTTCCCATTATGAATGGCTCCAACTATACCTCGGATTGCGGCTGGGGCTGCATGCTGCGCAGCGGCCAAATGCTGCTTGCGCAGGGCCTAATCTGTCACTTTCTGGGTCGCAGTAAGTAGACTCCCAACTGGCCATTGATCCCCTCCTCATGCAGATTTTTTTCATCCAGGCTGGCGATATGATGCGGAATCACAACTCCACTCCACCTATGAAGATAATATGCATAAGAAGATAATCAAGTGGTTTGGCGATAGTTCCTCTAAAAATAGCCCCTTTTCCATACACGCGCTGGTACGCCTGGGCGAGCAACTAGGCAAGAAGCCAGGCGACTGGTATGGCCCCGCTTCGGTCTCCTATTTATTAAAGTGAGTGCCAGTTTTATGCTGTGATGTGTTTCACTCATTAAGTACCTCTTGTCCACAGACACGCCTTAGAGCATGCCGCTCAAGAAAATGCCGATTTTGACAATATAAGCGTATACGTGGCCAAGGATTGCACCAGTGAGCTATATTTGATTTTGTATATACCCTACACGCACTTTCACTCCTGCCTTTACAGTTTACATGCAAGATATTGAGGAGCAGTGCAGCATACCCGAGCCGGCTCCTAAGCCGCACGTGCCTTGGCAGATGACGACCAAGAGATCGGCTAGCGATGCGCCGAAACTTGATCAGCCACAGCAGCATTGGAAATCATTGATTGTGTTAATACCGTTGCGTCTAGGCACAGACAAGTTAAATCCTGTTTATGCGCACTGCCTAAAGCTGCTGCTCAGCACAGAGCACTGCCTGGGCATTATTGGTGGCAAGCCCAAGCATTCGCTATACTTTGTGGGTTTTCAGGAGGACAAGCTGATACACCTGGATCCGCATTACTGCCAGGAGATGGTTGATGTTAATCAGGAGACATTCTCTATGCATTCATTTCACTGCAAATCACCACGCAAATTGAAATCCAGCAAAATGGATCCCAGCTGCTGCATTGGTTTCTATTGTGCCACCAAAACGGATTTCGATAGCTTTGTGGAAAGCGTGCAATTGGTGAGTGGAGCAAGATTTATCCAAAGACTAGGGCAATTATAATATAAGTCATTTCTGCCACAGTATTTGCATCCAATGCGCTGCGCCTCTGGCGCTACCTTGGACAAAACAGCTTCACAATCCCAGCAGCAGCAACTGCCACAAACGGAGCAAATTGAGATGAATTATCCGCTGTTTACATTTTCGCGTGGTCGCTGCTTGGATCATGCGCGCGATGAAATGAGCGATTCGCTATACAAGCCACTCATCAGACAGGTGGCGGCATTGACCCAGGAGCTGGAGGATGGCGCTGCTTCAGCGCAGCTGCATAGTTATGAGAATGATCCGGATGATAGCGAAAGCGAGGAGTTTGTGCTGCTCTAAAGTGGCCTGCATATACTATATATATGTTATGTATATATAGCTACAAGTCTTGATTGCCCAACAACTCAATGCCCTCTCTAACATATACCCCTCATTCACAGCCTTGGTTACTGTGCAAACTGTGTTATATTATTTTCATTTCTTTATGATTATTTGTAATTATTATAATTTGTGCTAATTGCTAAGTAAGTTGTCTCGCCGTTGCTCGCTGGCCAGCTCGCCTAAAACTAAACATCAGACGTGCATCTCAACAACAAAGACTTTGTTATTATACAGTTACAAACACACATACACATGCATATTTTTTTATGCAATGTGATTAGCTTACAATTTGCGACCTTTGTTCAAATTGATTTCATTCGATTTTAAATCATTTTTATTTGGTGCCTACAGTTTGTCTCTGTTTCGCTCTGATTGTGTGTGTTTGTCAACATTATTCCTATAAATAGTTTATGTAATTCTCGGTATTATTATTTTGTAATGCGAATGGAATTGATTCAGCAACTTTTTTGCCTGCTCTCGAAAGTATTTATGTGTAGTCCTTATGTCTTAGATTGTAATTAAATTATGTTTTTCATCTAGTTGTTCGATCATTATTTAGTTTTAATATTAATTGTAAATACCCTTAAATACAAAATCAAATAATAAATACATAGCTTAATATTTAGATACAAATTTTACTTAGCTACTTCCAATTAATTCTAATTAAATATCAAAGAGTTAAGATTCATAGGACAGTATTGATCTATTGATCGAAGTCGTCAGAGAGATCGGTATTATCTATGAGATATGATATGGAGAACATGTATGGACGGACGCCAAACAATCGCAAACATTAATAGAAACTTTAAACCATTTTTTTGTTTAGTTTAAAGAGCAAAGAATCGTTTTATGCCCAAGTTGTGGCTTGTTGATAAGGCAGCCTGATGTCATACAAACAATTCGAAATATATGATTGATAGGTTTATAAAAACATTTCCGGCTTGACTGGCTTGATAGAGTATTTAATTGTTCTATTTTATGACGCATTCGTAAACGCTTTGCTGACAATTACAAAAAGATTTTCGGTATGCTCAGTTATTGTTTGTGTCTTTTTTTGAAAGAGAGGTGGGTATTCTTTTTTCACGGCATTCGTAAACTTTGAGAAGCAAAAACATAGAATATAATTATCAGCGATTGCCTGTAATATTAGGGACATTATTCGAGTTAAAGCGAAAGTTAGGATATTATATCACGCTTGCACTTTCCTTTACGTTTTCTTTTTATACTTTTTTTTCACTTTGGTCTTAGAGGAATGTTTTGAATTTGGATGAAACTTACGCCTATGACCAGATGTCTACACTTAGATTAGGCAACTTTAAAAGGCACCAAAGCCTTGCTTACTGTGACTCCTTGTATGCTTCGCGGTTTAAGCGCTTTAAGAGCTTACCAAGATTATCCCGCGCCGTTGTCGCACGCAAGGAATTGATGCTAATGGCAGTCTGATAGCATTCGATGGCTTCCTGCACTTTGTCCCAGCGATGGTAGAGCACACCGAGATTCGTGTGATACAGCATATTCTTTGGATCGAGCTCAATGACGAGCTTGTAGAGCGTCTCCGCCTCTAGGTAGTGCCTCATCTTGCCCAGGACATTGGCGCGTATAAACATGATACTCGGTTCGTTGGGTAACTGGGCAAGAGCCTGCTCCGAAATGCGCAAAGCATCCTCGTACATGGCGCGATTATCGAGCATGGTTAGAATATTAGCCCAGGCCTTGGGCTGCCGTGGGTTCACGGCGACCGCATGCTGCCAATGATGCAGTGCCTCGGCATATTGGTGCTGCTCCAGAAACAGATTGCCCATGTTATAGTAGCAGACGGCATAGTCGGAGCGATATTTTAAGGCCTGCCTATAGCTGTCCAGCGCCTGGTCGTACTTCTTTTGCGCCGATTGCACTATGCCCAGATTCATCCAGGCCACCGGAAATGCTGGATAAGCGGTCAATGCGGCGCGTATATACTTCTCAGCTGTCTGCAGCTGTCCATTCTCGCGGTACAGATTGCCAAGATTCATGAGCGCCGATTCGTACTCCGGATATAGCTCGACAGCCTTGTGGTAATGGTGGAAGGCCCTGCTGATGTTGCCTGTGTCCGTGGCTAGGCGTGCTATGTTATAATGCACCTTGGCATTGTTGGGGCACACCTGCAGCGCCGAGCTGAACAGCTGCTCCTCGTTTAGCCACTGTGCAGCGCGCTGCCGCGTCCGCAGCATAAACACGGTAAAGAGCAGCATGAGAAGCGCCTGAAGCGCCGCGCGCCAATAGCTGTTGTTTGCATAGTTCTGGTAACAGTAGAGGAAGCCGTATACGGACATCAAGCAGAAGCCCATCGAAGGCACATACAGTGTACGTTCGGCGATCACAAATCCAACGCGTATAATGCCCGAGGCGGGCAAAAAGGGAATGATCATCAGCGCCAGGCCCAGCATAAGTCCTGCCAAGCGTCGAAAGTTCATCAAGGAGACGATTATAAAGGAGTAGAATGCAATAACTGCCTGTAGACGCATATCCCAAATGCTGGTAACCAGATTAACGCAGCCCAGCGCCCAGTCGAAGCACAGCCATTGTGGGCATAACATCAGCCAAAAGTTGACCACATACAAGTACTGCTGGGACAGACCGCGCGTGAGTAGCTGCTCGTTATGTGCAATGGGATTGTCGACGGCTTTAAACTCGGGCGTCTCAAAGTTTTGCCACCAGAGACGCAACAACAGCAGTAGCAGCGTGCCACAGAGGTAACACACGTAGCGCAATCGACTGGTGATAACCCGCTGCTGTAGCTTCAGCGGCAGCACGTAGGTGCCATTCTGAAAGTAATCCAACATGACGCAGGATATCGGTATAGTCACTGCCGTCTCCTTGAAAAGCATGCCCATAGCCGTGAGCAGCAGGATGAGGCTAACGCTGCTCACGCCCTGTTGCTTGTCCGCGCTGGCCACTGTCAGGAGCAGACAGAGCAGGTGTATCAGGCCGAACATGAGCTCCGCTCTGCCCACCACGCCGGATACTGCCTCCGTGTGCACTGGATGTACGGCAAACAGTGCCGCTGAAATGGTAGCCCAGCGTTCGATGTCTATATCCTCCACATACAGTGACCGCACCAAGCGCCATATGAGCAACGTGTTCACGCAGTGCAGCAGCAGGTTCAAAAACTTCATGTGAGCAGCATTTAAGCCCAGCAAGGCGTATTCGTAATGAAACATCAGCGTTGTTAGCGGCCGAAAGGATTTGTGCGAATCGGCGCTTAACAGCGGCGCACCCCAAAAGTCGTGGCTAAAGATGGCCGTCCAATTGGTGGGCAGCGTGTTGACATTTTTGTTTTTAACTATGGCCACAGTGTCATCAAACACAAACTTAGCGCCGCTAAGGCCGCCGTAGCCGTAACAGATTAGGCACAACAGCACTAGAATCGCTTGGCACACCAAGCTGTGCAGTGTTGAGCTTTGCCGCAGATCCAGGCTAACCATGTTACAAACTAATGCACCGCACGCCTCGTTTTCTCTTAATTAATTAAATTTTTTTCTAATAGCCATACAGTTTGTGTACATCAATTTGTAAAGCGAGAGTGTCTACCCACTGTTAGCGGCAAGTAAAGCGCAACTTTGCCATTCACATGTCAACGTCGCAGTCAGCTGTTGAGTGCGACTAGATTTCATTGAAAATAAACAACTTTGTGTGCATTATGTCGGAGGAAATAGGTTTTGATTGCCTGCATGCAGAAATAGTCAACTACTCCTAAATAACAGTAAGGTGTACTTTAATACAATTCGCCTCTCTTGCATCATTGTTAAACATTGCCCTTCTGCAGAAGCAGCACGATCTGGCCACCTTGGAGTATATTTGTTCTTTATTTAATTTTTTCGAGTGGGGGTGTGTACCCACTGACAGCGGCAAGCAAAGCGCAACTTGCCATTCACATGTCAACGTCGCAGTCAGCTGTTGAGTGCGACTAGATTCATTGAAAATAAACAACTTTGTGTGCATTATGTCGGAGGAAATAGTTTTTGATTGCCTGCATGCAGAAATAGTCAACTACTGCCTAAATAACAGTAAGGTGGGCTTAAATTCAATAACAATTTTATTGCCTTCTTATTAAACATTGTCGTTTTGCAGGATCAACACGATCTGGCCACCTTGGAGTATATTGGCTTCACAACCGGCTATCGCCTGATTGAGCGACTCACACGCGACGTCACGCGCTTTAAGGACGAACTGGAGACCATGAAATTTATTTGCACCGACTTTTGGACACTGATTTACAAGAAGCAAGTGGACAATTTACGCACCAATAACCACGGCATGTACGTGGTGCAAGACAAGGCATTCCGTTTTCTTACACGCATCTCACCGGGGGCCAAGCAGCTGGAGCAGGCGCCCAAATTTGTGGCCTTCACCTGTGGATTGGTGCGCGGTGCGCTCAGCAATCTGGGCATCAATAGCACTGTTACCGCGGAGGTGCAGACAATACCCGCCTGCAGGTTTCATATAGAGGTCAATAGAAGTTAGATATATTATTCATAGCATTATAAATAAATATATATATACATTTATAAACAAAATCCATATGTTCAGCTTAATTATGACAGTTTCTCGTAGACAGCCACCAAATTCTTTTCAGTCCAGTTGATAACCTGATGTAGCGCCCACTGATCGTCGGGTAGTTGCGGCTGCAGAGGATTAGGCTCTGTGTGTATGCCCACTGCGGGCTGTGGGCCTATTAATATTAGCCACTTGCCCTCAAACACACTAAGGTACTCTAAAAATGCGCTGCGATTGTTAAAGTAACAGAAGAGCAGAGCACAAGGCGCAACGCCCGAGCAACATTCGCTTAAGAAATGGGTAGTCAATTTGGAGCACGCCTCCTCAATGTAGTTGAGTGGAATAAAGCTGCGCACCGCATACTTGCTGCGCCACCAGTTTGGATCCCTTTCAAGTCCATAAATGCGTAATCCTTGCTCGGCAACAGCGCCTACCAGCCACTCGAGCAACCCACTGCCGCAGCCTATGCTCAGCACATTGCGTATGGCTAGTTTCTTTAGTATTTGATTGAAGTTCTTGAGGTCCAGTGCCGTGGGCCATATCCAGAGTAGCTTACGCTTTAGCTCCCGTTCCAGGGTGTTTCCCAGATCAAGTAATTTGCGCCAGTTGGGCTTGGCTGCAGCTGCTTTGGTTAGGCAATAGATCGCACGCAGCGCCTCGAGTTCCGTTTGATCGTTCCACATATTGAATACTGCTTGGATAATGTTATATTTTTTGCTCATCATGGGGCGCGCAGACCCTTGGCATTGACGTAGTCCGAACACTTAACTCTGTAGTACCGACGATTGAATACTCTGGCAAACATTTTGTTCTGATAGGAGCTACATGGTATATTAGTCTCATTTCGATGGAATTTTATAGGCTTGATAATGGTGTCTTGAAGTGTTTGTCATAAAAGAACTCACTTATTGTCCCACTGTTCCTTTGAAAGCTGTCTTATATGGTGCCTACAACAAAAGAACGACCCTTTTTAAAATTTCACAAATATAACATAGAAACTAGACCAACGAACTTGACTATATGGTGCTTATGCGCTAAACATTTTGTTACAAATTTATAATACCCTTCGATAGGGCATCATATGGCAAGCGGCCAGCGTTTCATTTAGCTAAATATAAATAAGTGTGTCGAGCCGATCTCGTTGTAAAATGCTTTTCGCATGCTTTATGTCAATGGGGCATTTGACATCTTGTTTGGGGTCTAAATGGGCCTTAAACTGTTTACTAATACTATTTAATTGGTATGCTCGTTTTCGTACGAGTACTTAAAATTCTTGCGCCAATGCCTAAAGTTGGAGCTGCCCTGGCCAGGCACACGTTGATGTTGCGGCTTGGTGTGAAGCGTGACTTGCTGCGCATTAGCCACTGTCTCCGGCTCGTCCATGTCCAGCTCATTGGAGTACTCCTCGTTGTCCAAATCTAATATGATTTTGCGATAAAGTTTCACATTCTCTTTTTGCGTTTTGTCTGGCATCGGCGCTGCTGCAGGCGGTGGCTTTTCAGGCTCCAGCTCGGGCTGAGCTATGGGCACCATAACTGGTTCCACATTTCCCACACTCTTGATGACGCTATTGTAGCGCTGATTTTGCACAGATGTCTCTGCTGGAGTTGGCGTGGCCGGATTGCTTGGCTCAGCCTCTATAACGTGAACACCTGCCTCAAACTGTACGCCCGGATGCATGGAGCGCAAATGCCGCAGCATATTGTCCCGCCGATTGACTGTGACCTCGCATTGCATGCAACGGTAATGCTGCATGGCCGTATGCTGTTTGATATGCCGCGTCAATGCATCCGCATCATTGAAAGTCTTGTTGCACTGGGAGCAGGCATGGCGTGGACGCTTGCTGTGGCGTTTCTGATGCAGTCGGAGCGTGGACGAGCGCAGGAAAGATTTATTACACACGCTACAGCTGTGCCGTGCGCTGTTCTGATCATGTTTTAGCTGGTGCTGCTTTAGGTTGGCCTTGGTTAGATACTGCTTACAGCAGGTAACACATTTGTGGGGCAAGCTGTCCCCACTGTGCAGCGCTGCGTGCACCGTCAGCGCACTTTGGCTGCGGAATAATCTGGGGCAGTTTTGGCAGCTAAACGCAGGTAAATTGTGGGCGCGCATGTGGCGCTGCAAAAGAAGCTGCTGCTTAAAGGATTTGTTGCAAATGGAGCAGCTGTAGCTGAAATTGTTGCCATGGCTGTTCTGGTGGTACTTTAGATGCGAACGTGTGGCAAAGCGCTGTAGTTACAGAAAATATTATCAGAGATTAAATAGCTTTTAAGATCTGCAACTTACGCGTGGACATTGCGTACAGTGGAACTTCTTGAGCTGCTCATTGCCGCAGGCACGATGATAATATTGTTGGGTGCGACTGCGAAAGTACTTGTTGCATACGGTGCAATGATAGCCCTGTGTAGTGCTGGTTATATGGTTAGCTGTGGTGTGTGCTATCGCTTTCACTACGGTCACTGGCTGCTCCGGAGGATCTGCATCTGGCTCTGGTATATCCCTTGTTATTTTGCACTCGGAACAATCGGATACATCTGCCAGCAAACACAAACGGCATTTGCTGTGGCCGCAGCTGTCAGTGACCAGACGATTCTGTCCAGATGCTACGCAGTTGCAGCGAGGACACTTGCTCATTCTCTCAGCTAACAAGCAAAGTGTATCTTTAATAGAAATAAAACAAAGATGCGCTTTCACAAATGCACCTCTTGTTGCATTATGCTTCTTCTTTGTTGCCATTCAAACAGCTACGCCGCACTTGTATTCACTGCGACACGTAAACAACTAAATGGAACTCATTTGGAATTCAATGTTATAAAATACTTAAAATGTATTTTTCTCTTTTTCAACTTAAATACTATGGGCTGAAAATGCTTTATATACCAATATACATGAACTTGAAACCGAACTGAACACAAATTGTCAAACTATTCCATTATATTTTCCAAATCCAGCGCGGCCACATTGCCTGGAAACAGATGCGCCTTCTGCATGGGCACCTGTACAAAATAACGTTCGCAGAACTTGGGGTTGCGTCGGGTGAGCACTTCGCTGAGTATTATATTATAGCTGATTTTCTTAGTTATAAGCAAGCGTCGAGATTCACCAGTACCGTAGCTGTTGGAGCGCAGTCCAAATTTGCCGGCAATCCTAAACATACAAAATATAATAAGCTTCCAGTTGCAAGAAGTTTAAGGATTTCGCTTACTGATGAAACGTTGCGCGTTCCTCCTTGGAGAAGGTGGGCTCAAATTGCATGTCGCGCATATCCTCCGAATTGACATAGTTCTCTATAAGCTTGCGATAATCGGCTAGATTGCCACGTGGATCGTCGGAGCCCAAGCCCATGCGATTGTTTTTTAACAGGTAACTAAAAATGATTCAGATGTTTAAATGAAGACAGCTAGGTTAAGGCAGGCAACATCTACCCCACGGGCTCCTCGCGTCCCTGCTTTTGGCGCCCCAAGCCACCGCCAGTCCAGCCCATTAATCGCATCATATGATAGCCCTTATTGCTTGCATCCAGCTTGGCGTCGCACAGATTGTCAGCAGACTCCTTGGTGACATTTATATTCACGCCATTTTTGCTTTTCTCGACCTTGATGGTCTCGCGCGCTGCATTCAACTGAGAAAAATTGTAAACTGTTAAGCTACGACACGCTAATCCTTCGGGCATTGCCTACCTTTATGCTATAGCAGTGCGTTTGCAGCAGCAGCACTGCCTGCTTATATGCAGCCAGTTTGGCCGCCTTTGGATTTTCGCCCCTGCCGCTGGCTATGATCTCGTCGTTTATTAGTATATCTGCTGTCTTGGACATATCGTCCGTTTGGGTTTCGCTTAGGCGCTCATCGTATTTCATTTTGGCTATGTTGCACGCGTTGCGCAAACAACTGCGTCCGCCGGCCAGATATATAATAAGATTTCCAAAGCGCAGGCCTTCAAAAAGATTCAGGGGCTCGCCGCCGCCGAAGCACAGGCGATTTTGGCTGGCGCTGGATGTTTGGAATTGGCGCTCCTGCAGTGAATGCGGTGGTCTGTTGGCAGCGGCACGCCCTAGTTGTTTGGAATATGTAATCAGCTCTTGTGGTTTCAGGCTCATATATATTTACGAGTAATATAACACATTTTCATCCGTCCTTAATTGTACTGTACATATTTAATGCTATTATTTATTGTTCCTTCTACCTTTGGCCCGCTGTTCGGCTGCATCCGATGCGGAGACAAATGTGCGCTTCAGGCGTTGCGCACGATTTTTGCGAAACTCCTCCGCAATATCTCTGGACAGCTCCGCCACTAACTGCATGGTTTCCGCTGGATATTTACAGCCCATGAATTCCATGTTGATGAACGTTTGTGCCAGACACACCAGTCGATCCTCATCAAAGCGATCTTTGTGCGCAAGCATAAAGTCACGGCGCAACTCCCAGTGCTCCTCGCTCTCGTACTCCGTTCTATAAGATTCCACATCCCAGTCGGTTGAAAATTCTGCGCTTTGCGCGTTTTTTTTCGGTTTACTCATTTTTATGCGACATTGTTTTGAGGTGCTGGGTATTTCATCTTCTACCTTTTGTCGTTTAACTGCTGTAGCCATTTGTCAGTGTGCTTAACTTAATCTTTAATAAACTGAATATTTATTTATACTGTATATCTTCATTTATTTTGTTTTTTCTGAAACAAAAAAAAAAATCTGGCACGCTGTGCTGTACTGCACGATAACAATGTCAATTAATCGCCAGTCTCAGGTAATCGCAAACATATTGTTATCGATAACGATTTCCCCATCTGGCTCTCTCTGCCAGCCTTGTGTGCCCGTGTTGTGTGTTTTTTGATTTTTCTGGTTTTTGTTAATTTTAATTCCGTGAACGAAGTGACGATTAACGTTACGAGTGTCTTTAAACTAAACGTGAATGCTGCAAGCTTCGAGGTCGTCCTGGAATAACGCATAAACAGCACAGCAGGAGCAGCAGCAGTCGCCAATATGAGCATACCCAACGAATATATTGCAAAAACGGAAGATGTGGCCGAACAGGTAATTCTCTTAGGATCATAAGCTGTGAAAGTTGTAAATTATGTTGCTGCAGCCATTTGGAGACCATTTGCAATTGGTCTAATCAACATTTTTGGCTGTCCAACTGGAAAATGCCCGGTGTCACTTAAAGTAAAAGCAATAGAAAACTGCCAACGTCATCCAAACGCGGCAAAGTTCGAAGCTCAATTGCAGCACCAGTTTCTGGCAAAGAGTGCTCCAAAATGGGTTTCTGCTGGCTGAGGTTTGTCCACTATCAATTTCGGTAGCTACATAGGTGAAATGCAGCTGGCAGCTAGGAATTCATATCTAATTGGCAATTGCTGAGAATACGCCATATGCGTTTACGCTCTGGATGTGCATGTGTGCGAGCTTCTGTGTGTGTGCGTGACTGCTTAGTCCATACTAGTGAAAGTGGTGAGAGTGAGCGGCATAAATGTTGCGTCGTCCATCTCGAACTAGGCGAGTTCCGTAATAAGTTTAGGAAAAGAAAATCTGGCAACCCGCTCAAAGCTTACATACATACGATATAATAAGTGAGTGTGTGTGAGCGCATGCTTCAATATTCAAATTATGCATTGAGCGATCGCTCGAGCTAGGCATAAAAACCCGTTACACGCCAAAAGAGATTCAGAGATAGCGCCTCGTATAAAATATAACGCGGAAGAGCAGCTGAGCGACACGTCATACCCCGCCACTGTCTTGCCAAATCAACAGTGTCTTGTCAAAAAAAGCCACGCTCCAGCATGTTGTAAATTTCTGGGCCCTTATCACAATCAACTTAAGTGGACGCTTCCCTATCGATGTTTCAATAACATTTAAACTCCCACTCCCATTCACTTATCAAATGCTTTTGCCGGCGTACGCAAATATTTTATACATCTCTGAAAAATACACTAAAAGAAAAGTATACATAATTGTACATGAAAGATTAAATGTAGAGATGTGCTTGGGGTGTTAAAGAGAAAAAAATAGAAATGAATATTTATTCATAGAAAACCAGTTTACAAACACATGGTGCTCCGAGTCAATTCTTATTTGCGTAAAATTATAATGTCAAATGCAAAATTCTTGAATATCTAAAAAAAAAATAATTCAAGGTCTGAATTTATTCAATAATAGTGTTGTAAAAAACTTTTACATTAGAATGAAGTGTATTTTTCTTTAAAATTAGACCGTTTTTTTAAACTGCATTTTAACAAATCGTTTTCTATGGCTAATAATGCCGTAATTTTTCTCAGTGTATTGATCAGCGAAAAATGGATGGGCAAATCTATTGCTCAGCATAATTTATTTTCCTGTTCGAACCTCATTTTACAGCACTATCGTAAGCACACACACACACACACACACAGATACTCACGTAAATAGATTATGCTCTCGAAAATCTGTTATCAATTAATTTTGTTTGTATTATTTGTATTCAACTTCTAGGTTATCAAGCGCGGCAAATATGTGCTACCAACTGTTGCACGGCTATGTCTCATTGCCACTTTCTTCGAGGATGGCCTGCGCATGTATTTCCAATGGAACGAACAGCGTGAATACATGGACATGAGCTGGGGCTGCGGCAAGTTTCTGGCCACCGTTTTTGTGCTCACCAATCTGTTTGGCCAACTGGGCGGCTGTGGTATGGTAATGGCTAGATTCAAGGTGGACATTGCGGTCGGTCTGCTCTTTTTCATTGTGGTGCTACAGGTGAGAGCAATCGATTATATATTATTTGTGGCTTGTATATGATCACACTCTGTCTCTTTTTTTTGTAGACAATAGCCTACTCCATACTGTGGGACTTTCAGTTCTTGCTACGAAACTTTGCTCTGATCGGAGCTCTGCTGCTGGTGCTTGCCGAGGCCCGGATCGAGGGACGCAGCTTATTTGCGGGCGTGCCATCTTTGGGCGACAACAAACCCAAGAACTTTATGCAGTTGGCCGGCCGCATACTGTTGGCATTCATGTTCATCACGCTCATCCGTTTCGAGTTAAGCGTGTGGAATATTATTCAGGATATAATTGGATCCACCCTGATGGTACTCGTTGTGCTGGGCTACAAGACAAAGCTGTCAGCGTTAATTCTTGTTGCGCTGCTTACTGCCCTCAATTTGTATCACAATGCCTGGTGGACTATTCCGTCGTACAAACCGCTCAGGGATTTCTTGAAATATGACTTTTTCCAGGTAAGTCTCTTTAGATTAGATACAAACTTTTTGTGTGTTTATGTGTATACGTATTACAGACACTTTCGGTCATCGGTGGCTTGCTCATGATTGTATCCTTGGGCCCCGGTGGTGTATCTATGGATGAGCACAAGAAGAAGTGGTAGAGCGTCTAGAAATTCGCTGAAAAGTAAACAAACAAAAACTTGACTTTTATTGCGATTAACTCTTAATGAGAACATTTAGTTAGAATTACCATAAAATGGAACAACAGGAGGAGAACAGCACAACAACACATAAACAGAAAAAAATATGAGATAATAAACTTGACTTATTGATAAATTCAAAAGGGACTTCCGCAATATCCAGGCTTTACCTTTACGGCCCACCAATAAACATTCGCGCACGTTCAACGACAAACTATTCGTATACATATAAGACATTTCGTTTTGTACATAAAATACGGCGATTTTATGCCCCAAATGAGAGACATTAACTGATTTTATATTCATTATATTCTGTCCACGCATATATTTTGCAGTCTTTTTTTATTTTTACCTTGTACACCCTCAATTTATAAGTTGTAATATTTTTTGTGTTTGCGTTTGTTGTTTGATAAGAAGTTCGGATTATGATAATGGTGTATAAAATATGATGATGATTGTACCAATTGACGATGATTTGTTTCTTTCGTTTATAAGCAAAAGTGTACTAGAATTAAATTGTAACGTTTTAATAAACAACTAAAATTACATATTGATTGAACAACTTTTTAAAAATGCGCCAAATTCATTTAGCTCTTTTCTGTTTTTTTTTTTTGTACCGATTGCTGGTTATGACCAGGGCTGGGTAATAATCGTTACAGCAGGCTCTGAATGCCGTTTATCGATTTCGTTATCGACAGCTATCAATAATTTCAGCGGCAAGATGCAACATATCCAAGCAAAGGTGTTTATTTTCATATACAACTGATTTTTAAATAAAATTTGCTTACTGTTGCATGTATATATTGATCGCGTAGGTAACGCCCATAGTTGTGCCCGTTTACGAGTTGCCCGAGTACGTCTGCGTTGAAACCTGCTGCATCACTCAGCAGTTTGCCAAGGAACACAATATTAGTGGAATTTCAAAAATTAGCAAAAATATTGCGGCCCTGTGGACGTTTGATAATTATAAACCGTCACCGAAAGAGCAACGAACCATGCCCACAACAGAGAGCGTTAAGCAGGACAACAGCGTGCCCTGTCGCATGCGAGAAATACAAACGGAGAGGATATCCACAGCAGATGTGGGCATACAATGCAAGCGAGACGATGACGAAGACGAAGCGTGGATTGAGCCGCAGCCGTCGACAGATCCGGATGAACAAAGCATGGAGCAGGAGAGCAAATTTCTATCTTATGTGAGTCAACACACCAGCATGTTTCCCAATGGCATGCTCGAGTGCCTGATCTGCGGCGAGGTGGCCAACTATCTGCTGGAGCATCAGCGGCACATGGCGATGCACTATGGACCGCGTGCCCTGTGCTTCAGCTGCGGCAAGCTGATCAAACATCAGCATTTGATCGGTCAGCATGGCTACAGTTGCACGGCGCGTCCCCATGCCCGCAGCCGACCACCGATCCATATGCAGTGCCCGCATCTGCATTGCAGCTTTACGGTCGCCTCAAAGCAACAGCTGCGGCGGCATCTGAAAAAGCATCTGAACGTTAAAGCCCATTACTGCCTGCAGTGCCGCAAAAGCTTTAGCTCGTCCACACAATTTCTGGTGCATCGCATGCTGGTCTCCGCCTGCAGCAGAGCCAAACACATATATCTAGGCCAGAGGACGCGACAGGCGCATGTCAAAGCCCAGATACATCGTTGCACTATTTGCCTGAAGCGTTTCAGTAATGCGTTTCGCTGTGTCCTCCACAAGCGCCGCTGCATCCTGCAGCATCAGAAGCGTATACGCTGGCTCCTAACGCAATGATTAACCAAGGAATTTGCCTAAATTGTATTTTATTTTTAGTGCATAACAACATTAATCAAAAATATATGTATATATATGCGCTCTTATGACGCTTGCACGCCGTGCGCCTTCTTTAAGCCCTGATACAGCTGCAGCTTCTCCAGGTTTACCTCCTTGAGCGTCTGCACGGCCAGCTCCAGTTGCACCTTCTTCAGCGCATGCTTGCTGCCAATATACTGTTCGATGAACTTCAGGCTGAGCTCATCGGCGGCGAAATCCTGCTCCGTTTTGCCAATGGCCGTTTGGATTTCGTGCTCAATGGCATTTTCCGCTGGCTTTTTCAAGCAGCTGAGCAGCTCGGCAAGCGCCCGTTGAGCGGGAGTTGGCTTCAGTGCCTCCAACTGGCTGAGAATTGGCTTATAGTCCACGGGCACTTGATGTATCTTGTAGCTGAGCGCAATTAGCTCAACAGCATTGTGAAGATAATCCCGGCGTATCATGTCGTAGAGCAGATCGTCAATGCAGCGATGCCAGGCGTAGAAGAACGCCATCGGTCCAAAGTGGCGGGTGGAGCGCAGCAAATCGAATTCTTTCGACTCATTTAGATGTGCAAAGACTTTGGCCGAAAAGTTATGGAACTCTGCCTCATAAGGCTCATATTGCACTGTCAGGCGATCCAGCACGAACTCATATTTGTGATCATCCAAGCAACGCTGCAGCAGCTCATCGTGGGTGAACATGCGCGGGGTATAGGATCGGCGGCCCTCCAATGGAAAATACAATTGATTCATGCGTTTCCGAGTTTCCAATGGGGCATAGGCCAAGGTTCCGTCCACATCTCGCACCACAATTTTGCGTTCCAAATTGCGCAGACCAAACGTGATGTCTGTGAAAACGTATTTGGTGTCGGCGAAATCCTTCAGCGCCGGATCCTTGGATATAATGTGCTCAGTGTCCTGTTTGATCTGAACAACCGGCGGCATTTGTAGTAATTTCTTTGCCTTTTCAATGGTTTGCAAAAACTCCTTTTCCAGTTGTGCGGTGGTCATGAATTTCGTCTCTGTGCTATTGTCCGGGACGGTGCGCTTCCGGAAAACCTTCTCCAGCTGCAGTTGCGTCATGGACTGAAGCAGGCGCTGCGTTTCGGCATCTGTGAACAGCGGTTGGGGATCTTTATCGTATTGGAAGCTGGCATTCTTTTCAGCGGCATCAGCCAAGGAGCGTCGCGTTTGCTCTACACCCAGCTGGAGTCTTTGCTGGGCATTCAGTTTGCGTAGTTGCCTCAAAATTAACATTTTTATTTCAATAAACCTGCAAAGAATCAAAGCCAAAACACACGAGCAAATAACCTGCGCTGCTAGCAGTGCTGTAAAGTGTCATAGCAACGCCACTATGCAGCACTGTCAACTATCGACGAGTTCAACTATCGTGCGGCGTAACAACAGCTGTTGGTGTGTCCCTGGGATTGGCAAAGGAAAATACTTTCGGCAAGTATAACGCAATTTTTTTATTTCGGCAGTTGAGTTTTTTTCCAAGAAAAATTTGGCTTGCCGCGCATTAAGCAATATGAATAGTGTACATAACGCTTTTGCTGCGGCGCAAAAGCGACGCTTGTCCGAATGCGAGGTAAAGCAAACGGACGCGCCCCTACCGCTGCAGGAGCAACCGGAGCCGAAGCAGCGCAGAACAGAGCTGCAGGAGCAGCGGCAGCAGCAGGAGGAGAAGCAGCCACATAAGAATCATCTGCTGAGCTTCTGCAATGAGCTGCTCTATGAGATATTTAAGTATCTGGACTCGGCCTCCATAATGGCGGTGATGCAGTAAGTGGGGTGCCTCTTATACAAAACAACAACAATTGAACTTAATTTTCTTTGTCTCTGCTAGCTGCTCGCCGCGCTTTGAGACTTTGCTTTTGGATCATCGCTTCTGGCACAATATTGATCTCAGTAATGCGCCGCTGCCGTTGGGTATATTGGAGGAGATACTGGGACGTGCTACAGAAAAGACGCACACCATTAAAATCTGTGGGCCACCCTCATCGCAGCATGTTGCTGGCGAGTTTAAGCAGTTCACATGCACCCTGACCTCGGTGTTTCCCAAGGTGGCCACACAGTTGAAGGTCCTGGAGCTGCAGGGCGTCAGCCTGGACTTTGAATGTGTGCGTAGCTCTGTGCATTGTTCAAATTACATATATTATTTAACCTGCTACCTAATACAGATACATATATCGGAATTCCCATCCTCGCTGAAGCGTTTAACGCTCAAGGATTGCAGCGTAAAGATTGGAGATCATGAGAAGAGCATATTTCATACAATAGAAAAGCAATTGGTTGTGTTGGAGGTAGTTGTGGGCGACCAATTGGAATCAGCCTTTATTAATATGCCTTTTTATATCTAATAGGACCTGAGTATCGAGGATAACAATTGGTTTGAGCCATCCTACATTATGGCGCTCTCGAAGCTGCCCTCGCTGCGCCGACTCAGCCTAAAGGGCTGCCAAATGATGTGCAAATTATTGCCCTATGGCAGCATGGCGGTACGCTTTGGCTTTCAAAAGTTGGAGGTTTGCTTTGAGCTATATATAGTAGCGTTTATCTACAGTCACCTATTACCTTGAACAGGTGCTCGATTTGCGTCTGACGCCCATTAACAACTCAGATCTGCAGTGCCTTAGAGCCATAAAGGGACTCAGGGAACTGCTGCTGGATTCGCCTCCGTTGCTGTGTCCAATGATGCAAAAGTACGGTTCGCATCTCGCACAGCAATTTTGCATTTCGAATTGCGCAGACCAAAGGTGATGTCTGTGAAAACGTATTTGATGTTGGCAAAGTCCTTCAGCGCCGGTTCCTTGGATATAATGTGCTCGGTGTCCTGCTTGATCTGAACAACCGGCGGCATTTGTAGTAATATCTTTGCCTTTTCAATGGTCTGAACAAACTACTTGCAAGTTGTGCTGTAGTCATGAATTTCGACTGTGTACTGTTGTCCGGGTCGGTGCGCTTCCGGAAAACCATCTCCAGCTGCAGTTGGGTCATGGACTAAAAACAGGTGCTGCGTTTCGTCATCTGTGAACCGCGGTGGGGGGGTCTGCATCGTATTGGAAACTGGCATGCTTTTGACCTGGCCTCTTTGCTGGGCATTCAGTTTGCGTAGTTGCCTCAAAATTAAAATTTGTATTTAAATAAACCTGCAAACAACCAAGGCCAAAACGAGCGAATAATTTGCGCTGCTTGCAGTACTGTAAAGCGTCACAGCAACGCCACTATGCAGCACTGTCAACTATCGATAAATTCCACCATCGTGCGGCGTAACAACAGCTGTTTGTGTGTCCCTGGGAATAGCAAATGAAAAATACTTTTGGCAGGTTTGGCGTTTTTTTTAGCTGCCGTTTTTTTTTTATTTCGGCAAAAAGTTGAGTTTTTTTCCAAGAAAAAAAATTTGGCTTGCCGCGCATTAAGCAATATGAATAGTGTACATAACGCTTTTGTTGCGGCGCAAAAGCGACGCTTGTCCGAATGCGAGGTAAAGCAAACGGACGCGCCCCTACCGCTGCAGGAGCAACCGGAGCCGAAGCAGCGCAGAACAGAGCTGCAGGAGCAGCGGCAGCAGCAGGAGGAGAAGCAGCCACATAAGAATCATCTGCTGAGCTTCTGCAATGAGCTGCTCTATGAGATATTTAAGTATCTGGACTCGGCCTCCATAATGGCGGTGATGCAGTAAGTGGGGTGCCTCTTATACAAAACAACAACAATTGAACTTAATTTTCTTTGTCTCTGCTAGCTGCTCGCCGCGCTTTGAGACTTTGCTTTTGGATCATCGCTTCTGGCACAATATTGATCTCAGTAATGCGCCGCTGCCGTTGGGTATATTGGAGGAGATACTGGGACGTGCTACAGAAAAGACGCACACCATTAAAATCTGTGGGCCACCCTCATCGCAGCATGTTGCTGGCGAGTTTAAGCAGTTCACATGCACCCTGACCTCGGTGTTTCCCAAGGTGGCCACACAGTTGAAGGTCCTGGAGCTGCAGGGCGTCAGCCTGGACTTTGAATATGTGCGTTGCTGTGTAAATTGTTCATATTATATATAATATTTGACCTGTGGTTTATACAGATACATATATCGGAATTCCCATCCTCACTGAAGCGTTTAACGCTTAAGGATTGCAGCGTAAAAGTTGGAGATCATATCAAGAGCATATTTCATACAATAGAAAAGCAATTGGTTGACTTGGAGGTAGTTGTGGGCGACCAATTGGAATCAGGCTTTATTAATATGCCTTTTTATATCTAATAGGACCTGAGTATCGAGGATAACAATTGGTTTGAGCCATACTACATCATGGCTCTCTCGAAGCTGCCCTCGCTGCGCCGACTCAGCCTAAAGGGCTGCCAAATGATGTGCAAATTTGTGCCCTACGGCAGCATGGCGGCACGCTTTGGCTTTCAAAAGTTGGAGGTTTGCTATGAGCTATATATAGTGTTTATATAAAGTCCTAAAACCTTACCTATTACCTTAAACAGGTGCTCGATTTGCGTCTGACGCCTATTAACAACTCAGATCTGCAGTGCTTTAGCGCCATTGAGGGACTCAGGGAACTGCTGCTGGAATCGCCACCGTTTCTGCCACCGGAGCCAAGTTTGCCAGCAAGAGCAACCAATGGAAATGTCAATCCTGGCAGCGAGGAACCCAATTCTCCAGTCCCAGATTCACTGAAAATGCTAAACGATGATGAGCCATCGACATCGCGCGCGGCCATGGAGCATTTACGTGCCTGCAAAATAGCCCAGAGTCAAGAGTCGACAACCGATGCTCCAAAGCCAGCTAGCGATACATTTACCTCGGATAATTGCAACCTTAGAAGGGAAGCGGACGATGCCAAGCGTTCCAACAGCACACCAAAGCGCAGTGGCGGCTGTGCTTCGTCAGGGTCCGATGACGAGGACACATCATCGACATCTGCGTCCTCCTCCGATAAATCGGATAGTGCGGCAGCGCACAGCAATGAGCATAGCTCCGATGCGGATGGCAATGGGGGTATACAGTCACCGCTTGTGGTTATCGCGCTTCCTAGTGTGGCACGCGAGCAGTCGCCAGCGCCCGCAGAGAACGCCGAAAATCCTGAGCCGGCCGAGCATGCAGCTGCAACAGAAGCAGGAACTCCGCGAGCCTACATCTATGTACAGGAAGGTGCACCTGCTGATGCCCAGCGACCAGCAATGGCTTCTTTTTTGCAGCAGATGGTGGATCAGATACATACACTTCGTGGCAATCAGCCGGCGCACAGTCGTTTTTTGCCGCGTCGCGATCAGGTCATCTATATGAATCCGCAGGCCATGGCCGAGCCATTGCTGGTCATGCAATCGCGACGTCATCGCACGCATCCACGCGGAAACTTTGAGCAGGTTGTGCATCATCCGATGTTCTGGAACATGCTGGATCCGCTGGACAGGGACTATGCACGTCGGCAGCGCAGATGCCAACCGGTTAGTCCACTACCGCCGCAGGGATATGTCTCGGATCGGGCCATTTATAGTTTTGGTCGTGCCGCCAATCCCGTACAGCCAGAAGTCGTTTGGATACGCAACTCGAATCGTTCGCCAAACAATCGGCTCGAACGCATTCAGCTACGCAATTATCCGCACATCACAAACTATACGCTGGAGCATCTGCTGCAGTGCTCACCAAATCTGGTCTATATCGATGTGAGTGGCACGAGCATAACGCTCCTGGGCTTGCGCAACTTTAAGAAGCTGAAGCCAAACTGTGAGGTGATTGCAACGCATTTAACAATGGATGAGCAGCCGGAACAGACAGAGACTGAAGAGGTCGTTATATCGGAGCCAGAAACGGAAGAACGAGCAGCCGACGTGAATCTCAGCATTGACAATGATGAACAGCAGCCGAATCAGCTTGAACCCGAACATCAGCCCCAACCACACGCCCAACCCGACGAGTCTTAGATTTTTTTTTATCTATGCATGATAAAGACCCACCCTTATTCCTGTAATCCTTTTTGAATGTTCCATGCTTGATGGCGCCTTGATCAGCCAACGGCATCGCCATTTGGGTAGCTATATGTGTCTGTGGCACCTGCTGCTCTGGCGCTGAGTTATTTAGTATTATGTTTGGAACGTATATATTTATATATATATGGCCGCTTAACCGAATGTATAAACCTACTTGTTAAGCAATTAAACGATAAACCATTTTGGAATTGACAAACTGATGAAATGTTTATTTGGTAGCCGTGAAAGTGGAAAAAACAATTGTTCAGTTTCGCTTTCTGAAACGCAATTAGGAAACTTGTTTGAAAACGTCGGTGGAAAATTTGTGGAAACTCAATTCTCAGTTAACTAGTGTTTAAAAATTTCTCTTTTTTTTTTGGTGGGTGGGGGCGTTGGTTTACTTGTCGTTTTCATTGTTGGAAGACTCCTCCTCCTCCTCAACATCCGAGTCGTCCTCGCTATCCTCAGTCTCGGTGTCCGAAGCATCTGTGCTCTGGCAATCGGCTATTTCACCAGTAAAGAATATCACGGCTTTGGGTATAACGCGCTCCTTTAAATAGAAGCCCAGCTCAAAGTCGTTCTGAAGTATAGCCTGTCGATATGATATTTAATACTTAGTGCATATCTTAACTTATAATTAGAGCAAATGCGGCTTACGTTTATGTCACAAAAGTTGGGATCTTCGGGATCATCCGGCAGAGTGGGTGGCGTAAAGAAGTCAAAGAATGACGGTTGATCTGCAGTAAAAACAAGATGGAATAGTTATATTGCAGACTCATAGCAAATGGATATATTTCGGAGCTAGTAAGGGCCTTAATTGCCGAGCTTTATCAAGATATCTTGACTGTTTCAGAGAGAGGGGGCTATATAGGGTAAACTAGTATTGCGATGTTGATTAAACTCGTATTAACTATGGTCAAGATATTTTGAAAAAGCAGCTATATGATACTAATATTCCGATTCAGTCAGAAATTATAGCTAGAAATATATTACCAATAAAACTAACCATTTTTCTCACGCTCCAAGGACTGTTTCCAATCGATGTGACAACCCTCGCATTTCACAATCTCGGCGCCGTCATAGGACAAAGGATCCTCCGTATCGGGCACACAGTTTAATATATAGGTCTTCGTGAGTACACGATTCTTGAAGTAATCGTTTTTCTCAAAAGTAAATTCAATTACAAACTTGACGGTGTCATCGTTATAATGCTTGGTTCGTATATCGCACAGGTGCTGCGAAGTAGAGAAATCTTTAATAGAGCCATGTCTGTGTATTGGATTTTGATAAACTTACCGATAATATTTTCTCATCCTCCTTGCCAATGAATTCGGTGTAGGAGGCTTTAAGCACCTTTAGCCAAAAGTTGGCCACATTCTCACTGGAAGTGGCATCGCCATGATTTTGTTTCTTGAACTCACTGAGAAATTAAAAATGTAGTTATTATCAAGGCAGCAAAATGGCTTTTGGGCGAACCGGTTCGATCAAAACCAAACCAAATAGAACCGATTTATTTCAAAATAATTTAATTTATACTTGAACCAATTCATTTAATAAAAATAGTTAGCCATCTCGCGATGAACCAAAGATCAAACTGAACCTTTAGGTAGGACTAAATATTGGTTCGAACCGCTACGCGGAATATTTGTTTTGGTTTTCAGCCGTAGAATTTCCTATGTATAGATTAATGCTTACTCGAGTATCTTTTTGCGCTTGTCAAATATCTCGTTATGTTTTTGCTCGTAAATTTTTTCCATATTGTAAATTTCACGCTGCATCTTGACATCCAGATTGATGGTATCCAGATATAGCTGCTTTAGTTCACCAATAATTTTCTTTTCATCCTCTGTAAATTCCTGAAAATAGCCAAACATTATCATATGTTATGCTCCCAGTTGAATATCAGCCAGCCTCTGCAAATTGTCTCACATTCTTTTCAGTTTTAACGATCTGCTGCGGCACATTGACCTTTAGCTTGGTGGTATTACGGGAGCGTAGTGGTTCCATATTAGTCTAAGTAATTTGTTTAGATGTTTATCAAATAAATGTTGGCACGAATTTTCGTTTATTATTAAAAATTTTTACAATATTCTATATCTGACGGGAATGTATTGTGAGCTGTTGTAGCACAAATGATTTTATAATGTGTCCTCAAAGTTCTGACAACCAAGTTGACACAAAAATCATCGCTCACTGAACATGTTTCGTTTAGTTTACAACTTAAATTATATTTTGGTGTATTATTAACATTTTCTGAAATCAAAACAATGATATTTCTGTGCCTATTATTTGCACTATTTAACATATGTATATTATTCAAGAATAGGCACTGCCGACTTCATTAGTTATATAGATGCTATATATGTAAATGCTGGACATGTAGATTACGTTAAATCCATATCGATAAATATCGATATCGGAAAAAATGGGAGCATCAACAGTCGAGTCGAGCACCCATATCTTTATATATGTATTGCTGCATCAATCCAAGAGACTAAGAGATCTGGGCATGTAGGTATACCAAATGAAGATTACGTTAAATCGATGTACGTTACTTTCAATTGATATCGATAAATATGGATATATAGAAGACAAAAGTAGACAGCATGTGTGTAACATACGATGCTGAAATTCGTTTCAACTTATCGATATCTGGCCGAATTTAAACAAAATCGATAAGTATCGATGATTAGTGCCCGCCTTTTCAGCCTATTTCGCAGATAATTCTTGAGATACCAGACTTAGCCTATAATATCGAGTACAATAATCATATATCGAGACTAAATAGCTTACTAGAGTAATAAAGCTTTCATATCTGATATATAGATTCACTTCAATGTCATGGAACACTTTATCTTAGAACATCTAAGATTCTGTTATTTTCTCTATATAAATATTTTTTTACTTATATTCTTTAGTTTAAGAATTCTTAAGTTCAAGAATAAGTGGACTTTGAAAGTGTTTTCCCACTATAATTTGTTTTTGCATTGTATATGTTCATGAAAAGTATTTAAGCACGCCTTGAATGCATTAAAGAAACCCTTTACCATGCTCTGTATTTCTTAAACTTTTTTTTTGTTGTTTCTTACTCAGAGGTTCCCCTTTTTTTCGGCGTATATTTTAGCGCCTATTAAAATGCTGGCCATGTTTATTGGCAATTTAACGCACATTTAATTTTTGGTTTTTTAAACTTTTCATTTGGCATGCAATTAACTGCCTGCGGCCCGGCTTGTCTTGCTTTTGGAGGCGACCATTCGATGGGAGGGGGGGATGGATTTTCTTGTATGCAAATCACGTGCTGGTGTTGTTCAAGGGTTCTGAAAGCTGGTTCCATTTACGAGTTTGTTAAATGAGCCGCACAGTAGAAGGCAGCCAGCTGCCACAGTTGGCAGCTGCCTCATGAGGCAAGTTTAATAATGTGACAGGCTTAGCGCCATATGCCAGGGCCAGGGAAAAGTTGTGGAACCGCCGCTTCGTCGCGTATACAAACATTTCAAAATGAAATTATGAGTGGGCAGCGCACTGGACACAAAAAGTGTAAACAAATTTGGCCAAGCGGAAACCGAGGCAGACACACACACTGACCGTGTGTGTGTGTGTGTGTGTGTGTGTTTGCTAACAAATACATATGGAATAACATGTACGCATGTCCGGCGCCTGGGCGCGGTCGGAACCAGCCCAGCGGACACTGCGGACAGCGTCATGAGTTCGTCACATTTGATATTATTAAATTTTTTCTAAATACCTTGGGGAAATTAAAAAAGAAATCATAAAGCAAATACAACAAGTAAGCACGACTATCTTTGGCACGCCGAAGCTTAAATACTCTAGCCGACAAATGGCCCCTGGGCTTGGCAGATATGTAAGGGTTAAGCTCATGATGTAAGTTGGGAAATCTAGAAATACAAAATAGTTTTTCTATCAAAACGGCTTGCGACTGATTCTTTCTGGAGAGCCGCACGCTATAAGTCCTACGTGCACAGTGCTAGAAATAAACCCCGAGCTTGCTGAAGACATTCTGATATATATAAAAACTTTAGACAAACGTTAATTGTCGATCGATCCTTCTCAAGGTGGTTAAGGGATATTGTAATAATTTCTTACTATTGGGGCTGCAAACTCAAATGAAAGAGATCATGAGCTCGGCTGTCTTGGGTTAAAAGAATACTTTTTGACCGAGTCTTCCTATAGAGGCATATAATACATTAGTCCATTGTTGATAAGATTTTGCTCAATATATCTTAATAAATAAAAAATATTTCAAAAGATCGTAAAATGGTGAAATAATATTGTTTTTAATTGTCAGAGCTGTAAGATCAATATTTTTTTGAATAATGCAAATCTATCAAATATGGCCCGATAAATCCAAGGAGTCTTTTATTTAGAAACAAAACACTTTTGAAAAAAACGGTTTGTTTCCGCTTAAGGCTTTCTTGTTTTTGGGAAGCTCGTTTTATTTGAGGTTCGGTTCATGGAACCAAAAGAAGCAAAGCGGTTCAAACCCTCTTTGCTGTTTGGGTTATTATAGCTTTTAAACTGAGAGACTACAAGAAAATGTATTAAAACCTAAAATGTCTCTAATTGAGCTTTAACGTGTAAATGCTTTCTATTATTCGACTTTATTAGTCGACTTAAAAATTCGGAACATTATTTCCCACATATATACGACTTGCAAATAGGCTACGATTACCTAAAATGTAGGAAAAGTGTTACCCAAAAATAAGATCGCGCTTACCCAAAATAATATTATTTGTATTTATTTATTACAGACTAATGTTTCCAATAAATACAGAGAGAGCGCCAGACGAACCTGGTTAAAGGATAATTATCAGCTTTATGGCTTCGGCGTCGGCCTAGTCCGTCTCTTTGTGTAACGCACTCTATCGGCAAATTACAATACCCTATAGAAGGGTATAAAAAGCTGTTGACGTTGACATGAATGGATGATGACCGGTCGCAATGAGAGAATGTACTTAAAGCCTGGCTTTTTAAAGCTGCGCCCCAGTTTGGGCCTGATTTTCAATTAACATTTTCGGGGCACTCAATTAGCAGGTGCATAAGTAATATGACATCGTCAGCGCGTCAACATAGTTTGAATTTAATTAAAACGAAAATTAGTGAAAACCCAGAGCCCGAGCAACAGTTACATGGCTGGGGATTAGAGCTGGGCAACGGGAGAAATGTGCATGTCTGCAGAAAATCGAATCAGCCGCTCAGCCTGGGCCAGGGCCAACTTGTGTGCAGAGGTTGGAGCATGAGAGGGGGTTACGGAAAGATGGAGCAGATTTCAAGCAAAAGGTAGCTGGCAGCAATCTTCTATGCCAAAAATGTACAACAAAAGCATAAGACGAAGTGCAGCATTTGATGATGAAACGACGTGTTAATTAAGGTCATAATAATTCAACCTAAATTGAAAACTTGCCCCGGCAATGCCTGTGTGTCAGCTTGAGGGTGTGCAACGTCCCACACCTGCACTGGCTATGCCACTGGCTGTGGCTGTGGCTGTGGCATTGGCAGTGGCAGCAGCTATCGTCCAACAGTTTTGCCGTACAGTTGCCCCAGCCTTCAGCTAAGCTGATTGCAACAAATTATTTTGCACCTTGGCTGAACTTTCCTTACGCTGGCGTTGATAAACGAATTTTGTTAGTTTACTTTTGCTTATTTTAATGCTAAGGGTGCACGGCTCCACGCTGTGGCATCCACACAGCCATTCTCGGTGCTGCATCGTGGCATCTGATGTGGTCCAGTTGCTCTTTGTCGCTCCGTCCCTCCGTCTTTCCGTCTGTCTGGCTGTCTGTCTGTCGACTTGGGCATTGCTGCTTTTGGATTTTGCATACATCGCTTGGTTTACTGTATCTTACAAGCTGCAGCTGTTGTTGTGTCTGCCCAGAGATAGTTAGATACGTGAGCAGGAGAGATTTAAGGGTATAAGTATTTCGCTTACTGTTTAATTACCTTATAGTGTATATAAGCCTCAATCCCCTTATAACTAATAACGTTCTTTATTTTTACTTATTTCAAGTTCTTACTTTCTCGAACCAAGCTCTAATCTCAAGCCTGTCTCGTCTAATCGAGAGAGATCTTTTTCAATAATTTTTAGTTCCGCTAAGCTTACTCGATCCTAGTTTCAATCTATTCTTAATCTCTTAAATATAAGACTGAAAAGGGGAGTTACCGAGGCGAGCCTCTATCTAGTATCCGAGGGTTGGCATGTTGTATAGATAAAAAACTTTTATCCATCACTAAAATTAAAAAATATATTTTAATAGATTTTACGCAAAGTGTGACACATCCATAAAAATGAACTGGTAAAGGTCTTTGAAACTGATTTTGATGCTGATCGAACTTAAAATAGTTTCATATAAACGTTTTCCACGGGTATTTCACACTTGCGGGTGGAATTTACCAAAACTATGTCTTAACCTGCACTTATTTCACATAAGCTAAATATAGTCAAATTTCAGCTTCAATCAGTCGGTCAGTCAGGGAAAACATTTGTATGTATATGAAGCTTTAAGTATTCAAGTACACCAGATTATCCTTACAACACGATAGTAAATTATATATTTATATACATATATATAATTCAGCCCGTCAGTCATATGGATATATGAAAGAGTATACCAGATTTACTCTAAAACATGGCATTATAGTGGAGCTGTCCGTAGTTGTTGAAATTTTTGAAAGTTGCTTTTGGACTTGGCTAAAGTGGCGAATTGTGTTGACTATTAAATGTTATTAGTTAGGAAAAGCGCAATATTGTGTAGTACTTAAAACTTGCATAATATCTTGGACTCATTTGCATATTAAAGAATTTTCTTAGTCGGTCATTGCTCAAAGAGAATTGGCGGTGGCAGCAGCAGCTTTCGAGATTGTTCATAATTATCCCGCACATACAGGCAAAATACAGCATAGGTATAGGCTGTGTATATGTGTGTGTGTGTGTGTGTGTGTGCAGGTATGCATGTACCTGGTACTCTAATTCGAACGCTATTCATATCCGTACACTCACACACACACGCACATACACACAGAAAGGCGCACACAGCGCTATCCTTGCCAGCCGCAGGTTAGGTTCTGCCGCGCTTCCTTTCTACATGCGAACGAGAGCTACATGAAAAGTTT